CAAATTATAAATTAAACTATCAAAAGTATCTAACTACCAAATATTTATTGACCTCGTCTTGGATTGCTAATTGAAAAATATGCTATAGATTTTAGCAGATCACGTGACCAACGTCTACCAGGTCTTTTCTCCCCTCGCCAAGAGGAATGACCCTGGGTGCGAGTTTGATAGCCTGACTCAATGACAAATTTACTATGCTTTAGTTACATTTTATTTTTGTGAACTGGCAGCCAATCTTTAAAAGAACCTTATGAGTTATGTAATATAGTCTATGCTCAACGATTTTCCATTACCGAGTGAATTTTTCATCACCGTAAACCGCCACGAAAATTGAGATATATCCGAAAACCGGCATCTCAAAATCGCCCAAACCGCTAAACTATAATAGACTTCCGTTATAGCTACGTGCAGTATTGAAATTCTTCAGAAAGATATCGTGTTCTATTTGGGTCTGCAACTTGTGAGGCGCCCAACAAGATTCCAGAATATATATCATGCAGTTAAATGTTTCTCAACGAAAATCTGCCATCTTTGTCCTCTTGTCGACCGTTGCGAAGTTTTTGGCCGATAAACTTTTACTGTATAAGAAAAATGACGGTTACGGTTTTCGCGAAGAAAATACGAGCTATTAACGGTGAAGGAGACAAAAATAGAACGGTTTGCGGAGCGACCAACCCCCTATAGTAGACTCCCTGCAATCAACGGCATCTTGGTTGATTTTCAAAATATACGTGGCAACTAAAAATCTATAGTCTTCATTCTTTGTCGTATTGTGCCAGAAATCGTAAACTATCCATAATACAGTAAGATGTTTTTAAAACAAACCAAAAATATTATAGTAACTCAACTATTTCGATGTAAACGGCTGGACAAAACTTTAAAATCAACCAAGATGGCGCCTAATGACACGTATAGTGACGTCATATGCAAGCAAAGAATAGGATTTGATTTATTTGAAAACAATTTTAAAAAGGTTTATATAGTCTTCTAGATTTTAGAGCTTTCTAAAGTTTCCTGTATTTTGTTGTAAAGATTTATGTTCAAAAACTGTTCTATTTTGTGTTGCTCTAATTGATGACGATAAATATATATGAAATAAAATTACATCCCATTACATGGAATTTTAAGGAACTTTTAGGACAGAATTAAACTTGATTACCTTCTGGTAAAATCAAATAACCGGAAGATATCTCTTCAGTTGCCATACACACTTTAGTTAGTATCACACCTGCAGTCAACCGCTCGCAAGCAATTATAATAATAATAATGGCGCGGATACGCTAAATTATAATGTGTTTACAATTTATTTTAGTTCAACTACTTGTTAAAACTACAACTGATTCTAGAATAAGTTCTTTTATATTCCAAACACAATCTGCCCACCTGGCAACACAATTTCTTATTAGCATCATATTAACTGATTCTCAATTTAAAAACTACAGTTTTAGCCTATCGTTATATTTATCTATTTATCATAATAAGAAATTATGAAGTGAAACCAAAGGGATATCGTGCAATAAATGGTAAGAACTGTACAAAACTACTAGCATGTGATGACATATTTTACGACGCGATGGCTATACCTAAAATCTTCGATTATTTGCTCCGTGTAATCACTAGAGAAAGCCTTATTCGTGGCGATAAAGTCGGCGTTTTGTCTAGCGAAAATCGTGCCACTTGGTTATCGCTTGTGATGGAAGAAATTAATGCAAACTATAAAGACAACGATAATGCACGGCGGTATATTCTAGATTATTAACCAGTCTTTGGTCTATAAAGCTGTGTGTTAACATCACATATATTGATATCACATACAAGGCAAGTTCATATGCATGTGATTCCCTTATTGTTCTCGTTGTTTCTTAGAAATTGGTTGAACGTGCATACAACCGCACAATTGTTTCTATTTTCATATTTTTTTTGATTTAGTGATGTAAGTGATCATCACAGATCAAATATACTTCGTTGACGTGATATATTCCGTGCTCTTTGATTGATTGATATATATATATACTAGTCGAGTTTGCGTTTTGGTTTTGCATCGTGGGTAAAACGTCGTGCGTCGTAGGTAAAAACTCGTTCGATGTGGGCACAGTTAAAACGCCTTAATTAATTTTGCGTCACTATAAAAGTTTTGTTTTGCCAGCAATTGACAATGTTTGACCAAACATTTCTGTTTAATTTATAAGGTACGGAATAAATTTTGAAGATAGCCATATCTTTACATGTACAGTATCAAAATCGACAATGCTTGGTCTTATTAAACATTTTTATGAATACGGCAAGCACACTGCAACTATACTAAATTCAACGAAATCGAATCTAAGGCCCGTTTTATACGTCGAATTTCGGTCGCGAATGCAATTAAGACAATAGTTGAGATGATAAACCTCATTAAGCTTCATTATCTATTGTTTGAATTGCATTCGACGCGACCGAAATTCGACGCATAAACCAGGCCTAAGTTTAATTATTCGGGACAGCTTTATTTATTGTAGATTGAATGTATCCCAGTGGCCTAAGTTTTCCATTGTAACTATATACCGGACGAAACTAAATAAACTGGACTTTATTTATTTATACTAGAGGACACTAGATTGTTTAGTTTAGATCTTATATTTGTCCTTACTCCTGAACACTGTCACTCGATATTCTTGCAAAATATACTTAATTCTTCGTTGTCAACATTCGTGATATCAGTTTGTTTTGGAATTCCATCTGCATTAGTCTGCAGAGATTAACCTGTTCTTCGTCGAGGTCCAGTGTAAGAAGACACTAAACTAGATTACTTTATTTAATATATACTCAGTGTATAAGTTTTAATTTCGCCGCGAAAGGCTTGTATCATTGCAAAAACTGTCTGTACCAGTGTGGTACGTAGTACCAATAAAGGCCCTTCGTCAAGAGGACGAAGGGCTTCCGCTCGAAAGGTCGAGTTTCTGCTTAGTTTTAAGGTAGTAATATAACCACTCAGCACAGCATGTTTGTATCATTGCATAGTGCCGGAAATATATTTGTTTGGTATTTGTGGAACTGACATTACGTTTATTTTGTATTACTATAGTTTTCGATATGTAAGCCTCCATGGATCTTTACCAATGTGTTAAATTATTATAGCACCAACGATCTTTGGTCGAAAGCTTCGCCAAAGCCGAGACAAAGAGATGAACGTGTCCACAAATCCAATCTCGTTCCCGAACCTGCGATCCTCGAGAAGGAACGTGAGGCTCTGGGATAATCCGTTGCCGCGGAAGCCAGGAATCCTGGCTAAGACCGAACTGCGCAATGCATATCAACGACCAATCAGATTCCTCCCTGAAACGGATTATCCCAGAGCCTTACGTTCCTTCCCGAGAATCCCAGGCTCGGGGAACGAGATTGCCACAAAACAAAACAATTATATCTATTTTTACCATGCAAACCTACAAGGTCAAGGATATTATTAATGTGCTTTATGACAATGGTATCGAGATTATGAAATATCTTTAAAAAGCACAATACATTAATTATTGAAAGAAACCCCATGAAATGCTTGAAGACATGACAATGATAATCTCTAAAGGCGGTTTTCCACTAGGCGAAATTTTTCGACCGAATCGAAATTTCTCTTTGTTTCATGAGCTCTCGAGCAGAACTAATTGTAAAAAGACAAAGAGAAATTTCGTTTCAGTCGAAAAATTCCGTCTCGTGGAATCAGGCCTTAAATTACGGCAAATAAAAATATTTCGAAACTCTTTAAATCTTTATTTAGCTTTGGTGTGATTGCCTCAATGATGGCGTAATTGCTTCTGTGCGAGGTCTTTTCTTCTGTGACATTTGCCCATGGGCATGACCATGAAAACAGGCTAGTATACTGCAGTGGAAACGAAATTCAAGTCAGCGTTTTAGGCAGAAAGAGCATGTAAAACCGTAAAATAAGTTCACTGGACAACTATTTCTAGCTTGTCGTTTTTGTTTTCGAGATATGTAAATTATAAATTAAATAAATCTATGGCATTATGCAGAGAGTAAAATATTGGTGCTGATATATACCTGTAGAGGATCTTACACGGCGGCGGGAAGATATGACTTTTATCTTCGAGTGGTGAAAACAATATTTTACGAACGACGGCGCAGCGAGTGCATGAGTAAAATATTGTTTTTAACAGGAGAAGATAAAAGTCATATCTTCAAGCCACTGTGTAATGTTCTGTTTATTATATATAGTCCCAAGCAAAAAATTGTATAAATATAGATAAAAGTCACGTGATCGATATCTTCACTAGTGAAGATATGGAAAATATCTCACTGTGTATTTTTCAGTATCTCACTCTCTACTATATAACAAACTAGTATAAGGTAGTATAGACTCATCAAAGGTTAAAAATCATGAAATATTTCAAACCATGTACAGCTAATTCAAAAAAGGTTTTCCTTTGAAAAACCTTAAACTCTAAACCTAAAACCTTAAATTCTAAGCGTGCAAAGCATAACGAGAACAGTTTAGAAAGCAGTATGGGGACCACTTCCGAGAACAGTTTATTCACAAATAGCTACAATATTCAACTACTAAGCTTGAAAGGTTAGAGTTTAAGGTTATAAGGTTTAGAGCGGTTTAATTAAGGTTTTTCAAACGACAACCTTCTTTGAATTGGCTGTATATTGTTGATTCTTTTGTTGATTCTTTCACCAACATTATGCAGAAAGTTATGCAGCAAGCATGAGCTCTTGGTTTATAAAGTTGGTTTAGTTAAAGTTTCCTCCTGTAGCTGGTAACACACTCGACCAACGAAAGATAGTCCTTACTAGACCTTTAGGGAGAAGAGTTTAAAAAGTGACAATATACGGGCTAGAGTTTCCTATAGCTTTATAAGGCCTAAGTATTTTTTTACAATAAACTGCCGAAGTATTTTGTTTTTAATTTTCTTTGTTCAGAGAAAGGGTGTGGCAAAACCGCCCTTTCTCTGACAGAATGTCTGTAGGAATTGAAAGGTTTTGCCGCCCTTAATTTCTCTGAACAACATTGAAACCATAGATATCTTATATACACTAGATAGTGCATCTAATTATTCTGCAATTCAAAAATTGAAGCCGTGATTGCAGACTCAGGTCGTTCCCATGAAATGAGAAGATTCGTATATTTTCTATTTCTTAAACACGGAACTTAAACATGAAGTTAACCCTATTCCAAATACGTTTTTAAACTATTCAAATGATGAAAGTTATTGTTGTTTTTAAGCGTTTATTAGCAAGTGGGAACGACCAACATGGCCGCCATCTATTTAAATGGGGGTAACCGCTGGAATATTCTTGGCTTCAATTTTACTAAAAGAGATGCGCTATCTAGTGTATATAAGATATCTATGATTGAAACCCACAATCAGGATTCACCTTCCGTTCATTGGCAAGAGAGGAACTTTTCCCTTACACGCTCGTGCACAAACAAAATTTCCCGACTGTTGATAGCCGGTCCCAAATTTATCACGATCTATGACACAACGAGTACCAACACCTATCTGAGCCTAAAACACCGAACGGATAAGGAGCTCCAAAGTAGTGTTGTCTACAAATGTAGCTGTCCTGGCTGTCAATTGGCGTACATCGGAAAAACTGACCGCTGTCTCAGAACAAGGGTTAAAGAACACTCCTCCGACAAAAACTCAGAAATTCACAAACATATTGTCATGTGAAAATTTTCAATACTTCCAGACACAACTTAACCTACCCAACACACTACTGGATCCATTTGATCCACATACCACAGAAGCCATCATATATACCAAAAACTGTACTATTTTAGATTAATCTAGACATTGGTCATTATTGTTATATAAGGAGTCTTTACACATACATCACCAAAAACCGGAACTTAAAGGAGCTGTGTCACCGCGTGCGCATCCTTTCTGCGCACATATAAACTTGAAAACTACAGCCTGTAACACCGCGGAAAAACGTCTGCGCATGCACCAAATTATGAAAATATGGCGGGGAATTTGAATATCAATTTCTAAAACAAAAACATGCTTATTAATTGGTCAAAATTAGTAAAACAAACGAGAAAATATAGCAAATGGGTAGACTAGACATTAATTGAAAGCGTCCTGGCATTTAAAGTATGGAATGAAATATAATTCATGTAAAAAATTGTTGATTTTAACGGACACGACTTCGAAAATTTTTGCAAAATTATTCAAAACAAAAATTCAAACTAAAAAGTTAAGAAAACTCTCGAAAAGTTAAGCTTCTTAACCCACTCAAATTGTAGAATAAATCCTAAAGTTTAATTATTGTGAACACGAAAATTTTTTATATTTGGCGACACAGTTTTTTTTAAAGAAATGTATCTCAAACGAAAATTCGGAAATTGTCGTTGCTTAGTTGATAAACAAAATGTTTCAGACGATAAATTTGTTAACAATCACCTTTAGTTCATGTTCTTGTACAATACAATTTCTTGAACCCTCTGGCTGTATTTATTCCTAGTTTTTAGAATGACATGTTTATTTTTGCGCTCGAAATCTGGCTGTAAAGACGCACAATGAAGTCACTCCTTTTTACCGCCATTTTGAGCCTTCGGAATCGTTCGGAACAGCTTCTCATCAAGTTCGCAATACTATTACAGGTAAGGTTGACGCATGCGCTGACTTTTTTCCGCGGTGTTACAGCCTGTAGTTTTCAAGTTATCAAATCCAAGATGGCGGCGCAAAGTGCTGTAGCGCATGGTGAGAGACGAGATAATTCGGGAAGAAAACGAAAATATAGTGGATCGATAGGGTCGCAAAAAGGCTGGAATAGTGCGAACAAACGTATATATTTATCTTTAACGATATTTGAGGCATGGAGAAACGCGAAAAGTGAGGCTGGGTATACAAAATGTAGTGATAGCGACTTTGCAGTACATCTGTTGTCTTTGGAATATCGCAGAAGGTAAAGATCATTTAATTTATTTATGTTTATTTTCCTGTATTCGATTTAAGAATATATAATGTATATCAACTTTTAGTTTCTAAACTTTTCTGTTACGGAGAATACGAATCAGAAGCAACCTCAGTCGCAACGGAAACGAAGAAGTCAGCTATCTGAAACACATGTGGCTGAGATAGAGGCTTTCTCACATTCTAGTATTACCGAAGGTAATCTCAAAGGTAAACTCATTATTTACAATATGCTAAACTGTTGAAGAAACCTAATAACTATTCTTCGATTTGAATATATTATAGAAATGTATTTGTATTTTTGATAAATAAACATGCATATATAAATAGACCCCTTATGTGTTTACCTGGATAAGAATGTGTTTACCTGGATAGCCAATTTTAGAAAAGCTTATATGTTACCCAATAGTTCCCTTTCAAAGAAATAGTGCTTTCAACTATTTCTTGCCATCCCAGAAATGTAAGCAAGAGAAATAGATTACCTATGCCATTGTCAATGGCTAATGCCGGTGATGCTATGTGTTTTACTGTTTTTGTTATTAGGGCATTCCAGAAAACATCCATACCACCACCTCCACGGAGGAAATAGGAAGTTAACCCACCTACCCCCTTTGGATGTCCTAATACATTAACTATTATCAGAAACAATTTTTTCTCCCCTCCCCCTCCGGACGGCAGAAATTTCCTCCGTGGGGGGAGTATGGATCTTTTCTGGAACGACCCATCTTTAGCATGCATATCATGTTGTGTTTGGTAATTGAATTTTTTGGTAATTGAACACACCATAATGCATGGTTCACAATCCCCCCGGGGTTACAATCCCCCAGGAAATGTACACTGACAGTTCCCGCGGGTGGGAATTTTATTGAGCATCTGGTCCCAGGGGTAAGGGAATATAAATGTTCACAAACAAGGGGCTTTGGTCTAGCCCGCAAAAATATTGTCCCTGGGGTGCGAAATTAGCTTTCTTTATTTGCCCAGGGGTGAAGAATTGACATTTTGGAATTAAAAAGCCCGCAAATCCCTGGGGGGTTGCCCAGGGGATGGTAACAGGAAGGATTGAACCATGCATAATGTGATTGTCTAAATTTTATTTGTTCCCAGGCAACAACACGGTCAGGTGACAAGTTAGTTACAAGGAACTACAATGCAAGGACAAGGCAGTGGGATGTCAAAGTTTTAAAAGTGGCTAAGGGCTATGAGTATATACCAGTGCTAACATAAAAAATATTAAGAAGGAGAAATGATGATACAGAGTCTGTGACACATCTTGTTGCCCTTAATACCAGTGATCCTGCTTTAATTTCACCAACTACCGCTCACATATCACCACCACTGACAAAAGAAATTGCTGAACGTAGAAGCAGGGTCACAAAGGAATAATTAGGTTGGCTTGAAATAGGGTCATTCCAGAAAATATCCAAACCTTGCCACACCCACAGAAGAAACGGGAAGTTAACCCCACTCAAAATTTGATGTCATAGCACATTGTTATATGTATCACCTATGGACAGCAATACTTTGCTTCATAGGGGTGGTGCAGATATTTTTCTGGAATGGCCCATTGCTATAAATGTACATGTACATGTACAAGCTGGACTTGAATGATGTAGTTTCTTTGCACTTCACTTGGTGGAATTAATATTAGAATGTTGGGTTTGTAATCCAAGTGATAATATACATTTTAAGACCTGACCAGGAACGACTGCGAAAAATGCAGCACAAGGTCCTCTGGTAGGAATCGAACCTACGGCCCTGCGATTCCAGTGCAGCGCTCCACCGCAGCACCAGAATCGCAGAGCGCTGCACCGGAATCGCAGGGCCGTAGGTTCGATTCCTACCAGAGGACCTTGTGCTGCATTTTTCGCAGTCGTTCCTCGTCAGGTCTTAAAATGTATATAATCACTTGGATTACAAACCCTAACATTCTAACATGTACAAGCTGCTGTTTTAAAAATGATGGTGAAATGTGGCAGTATTTGAACCACATACTGTATTTCAGCCATATAATAAATTAATATTTTAAATAACAAGAAATTTACAATATAAATATGAATATGTAACAATGAATATGATGTTTTTGGTGTTACTCTGAGTGTATATCCACATCATGTAGGCTGAAAAATATGCCTGGTCACAGTGGGAATCGAACCTACTACTTTTGGAGTACTAGCCCAATTAATGCTCTGCCAATTGAGATACAGGACCAGGTCGGTTAGAGAATGTGATATTTTTTGGGCATATTTTCAGAGTAACACAAAAAATCATGAATATGAGTATGTAAATATGTAACATTTTAACTTCTCATTGTGTTCCTACATCCCATGTAAGTTTCAGTGATAAATATAGCTTTTGTACTGTGGATTTTAAATAGCATAATATAAAATTTCAGCTTTCTCTATATCCCATGTAAACTCCAGTTATTGACGGAAATCGTTCTCGAATTTTCAAAACAACACATGAAGGACATACTCTTCTATTTCCCCTGCCCAGATGGCCATGTCGTGCTAAGGTGAATTGTCTATATGCTGCCTTGCAGAATGCTCTTGTGCTGTTGTCTTAACGATCATTGCGTATGTCTCCTGTATTTCTTATACACAGCTCCAGCACATCAGGGTCAAGACATAATTTTGAAAATCTGGAAGAATGTATAATGCATTTTATTAACTTACAACATTTGTTCTCGAACATATTAAATGGGTTGCACAATTTGTAACAAACAGTAGTGCACACAATATATGGCCATGCCATTTAAAAGATGCACACATCCCTTCGAATATGTCTGATTCAAATGATTTTGGATGCCTTTTGTATCGATGGATGCAGTGCAATAATTTATTTCAAGTAATCAATGAACCGACACGAATTACACAAAATGGTGCTACTATTTTAGATCTTGTCATAACCAACTGCCCAGGATTTTTTGTTCAAAGTGGAACTTTGAGTCCCCCAGCCAATTGCGATCATTCTTTGATTTTTGCCAAAATGTGCATATCGTTCTCAAAGCAGAAGTGCTACAAACGCCTTATTTGGAATTTTCATAATGTTAATGAAACTGCTTTGTGTAATTCTTTAGTAGCGGTAGACTGGGAAAGTCTGAAAGATGAAGATATAAATATTGCCTATGAAAAATGGTATAGTCGTTTTCGAGGTATAATTGAGTCACATATTCCTCATAAAACTGTCACAATACGTCCTCGTGATAAACCGTGGATGAATGCAAATGTTAGGCGAGAAATTCGTAAGAGAAACAGATTACTGAAAATTCATTGTAAAACGAGATCCACAGTTTCCTGGGAAAAATACAGGCGGCAAAGAAATTATACAACAACTCTCATTCGTTCAAATAAAAAAATGTACAATAAAAAGCTGAACGCCAGACTTCAAGATCCTTTAATTAGTAGTAAAAACTGGTGGGGTATCGTAAAGTCTCTTTATGGGGCAAAGATTCAAACGTCAATCCCAATTTGGCCCTAGTTGATGGTGTAAAATTTATTAGTGATGCTAAAGAAAAGGCCGAACTCTTTAATGAATATTTTTGCACTCAGTGTAATGTGGATGATAGTTGTGCTTCTCTCCCAACTAATAACGTCCGAGCTACTGTTACTCTATCACTTATCCAAACATCAGAAGAAGAGGTCAATAATCTCTTGAAAAATGTGGATGCTGGTAAAGCTTGTGGCTTTGATGGTATTGGGAACAACATATTAAAGTTATGTGCTAACGGTATATCTAATTCATTTACTAGCTTTGTTAATTTTTCTTTCTCATCTGGAAAATATCCAGACAAATGGAAACTAGCAAATGTTATCCCAATTTTTAAGAAGGATGATCGTCAGTCGAAGCTCAACTATCGTCCGATTTCTTTACTAGTCTCTTTGTCCAAAATTGTTGAAAAAATTGCATATATTCGATTATATAATTTTCTACTAGAAATTGGTTTTCTAAACCCACTGCAGTCCGGTTTTCGACCGGGTGATTCCACTGTGAATCAATTAATGTACATTGTGCATACGATTTATCACGCACTTGAACAAGGGAAAGAAGTTCGGATGGTATTTCTCGACATCAGCAAAGCTTTTGATAAAGTATGGCACAAAGGGCTTTTATACAAACTTGAAGTAATTGGTATTCAGGATCCACTGTTATGTTGGCTTAAAAGTTATTTATCAAATCGAAAACAACGAGTTGTAATTGAAGGCCAGTCTTCTAAGTGGGAAAGTATAAAAGCGGGTGTTCCCCAGGGTTCTGTCCTTGGCCCTTTGCTATTTTTGATATATATCAATGACATAACTAAAAATCTTCAGTCAGATTGTTTTTTTGTATGCGGATGACACGTCAATCCTTGATATTGTTGATGTACCTAATATGTCCTCGATAAAGTTGAATAATGATCTTACTTCAATTAAGGATTGGGCATCCCAATGGTTAGTTACAATTAACCCAACTAAGACCGAATCGATTATTTTTTCAACCAAAAGGATTAAGCCATATCATCCTGATTTATTTTATGAAGGTAAAAAAATTGCTATGGTTTCACAGCATACCCACCTCGGCGTCACACTATCTAGTACTTTGTCATGGAAAGCTCATATTTTGAAAGTATATGAAAAGGCATGCCAGAGGTTAAATATGCTTAAAGGATTAAAGTATAAATTAAATAGGGAAACTTTAAACACATTATATAAATCTCTTGTTCGTCCCGTGATGGAATATGCTGATGTATTGTGGGACGGTTGCATGGACGGTGAGAGCGATCTTCTCGAATTTGTCCAATATGAATCTGCTAAAATCGTAACGGGTGCCATGAAGGGCACCAGTAGAAAAAGTCTAATGAAAGAAACAGGCTGGGAAGATATGAAGCTTAGACGTTGTATACATAAATTAATTTTTTATTTTAAGATCGTTAACAATCTTGTTCCAAATTATTTAAAAGAATTATTACCTTCTCAGGTGCTCGAGCGAACTCATTATTCTGTGAGATCGCAATCTGATTTTACATTGTTTCCAGTGCGCACTGAGCGTTTTAAAAAGTCTTTCTTTCCATCTGCTACCAAACTGTGGAATGGGCTAGATACATCTGTACGTAATCTTCCGTCAATTTCTCGTTTCAAAAAAGTTTTGTTAGACCTTTTCAATCTTCAATCAAGTCCAACCCTATTTAATTATTCTCTTGATAGATATTCATCTATCATTCATACTCGAATACGTTTGGACGCTTGTGCATTAAATTATTATTTATTTAAAATTGGTAGTAAATTATCTCCTAAATGTACTTGTGGTTTTGAAATTGAAACAATTAATCATTATTTTTTATATTGTCCGATTTTTGCTGCTCAAAGATTGAAGCTGCTCACCTCTGCTGCTCGCATTTTTGCTGATAGATGGCTTGCACTGTCCAATTCACAAATAATAAAGCTTTTTTTGTTTGGATCCTCATTACTTTCTCAGGATGAAAATTTTGAAATCTTTTACCACGTCCAAAATTTTATAAAAGAAACAAAACGTTTCCATACTCAGGAGATTTAAATCTGTTTGCAGTTCATCTTTCAGTATTTCCTTGTGTGTTATTCTTCTACATAGCTACTGATTGTATTTAATTTATTGTCTAATTGATTTGTGTGTGTGTGATTTGTAAGTATGTAAATGTGAAGTGAGCCCCCTAGATGAGCAACCAGTAGCTCTTGGGGCAAACTTTTTGAATTAAATATTTATTAAACAAAAAAAAAAAACACCTCTGATAATTGCTCATGAGGAATTTCAGGTAGATTTCCAGTGCACTTTTAGGTAAATTTAAGTAGATTTGCAGAAGATTTTCTGGGGAATTTAGGTTATTCTCAGGACATGAGAAAGTGAATTTGGAAAACAACTGTATTTTCGGAAAAATTATTATATGTCCTGAAAAATTTTTGTACATCTGGAAACAATTTGGTAACCACTCCCCCCCCACCCCCTCTATCTAACCTCACACACCCCCTGAGACGAAGTGCTCGCAACGGCACTGAGTATACATCTTTTGAAAACAGGCGAGAGTTTATTGCATGCATGTATTTCTAGTCTAAAATTAACATTGGTTAGGGTAACTTAATGTAACTGGTTAAACTTCCTGGTTAATTTAACCAGACTGAATGGTTGAATTATCGAGGTCATCTTTATACGTCAATTATTAACCAGGATTTCTTGGTTAATAATCCACCTAATTTTTTCACTGCACTTTCGCTACAAACATAATTATATAAGCTAAAACTACAATTTCCTCGACTTCCCAAACAATTACCAAATTTTACAATTCCCAAAACTTTTTTATGTATATTTATTAATATGTAATAGGAAGTTTCTCGTGAAATTTGGATTAGAAAACACTGATCGTGAGTTTTACAGACCTCAAATGTCACTAGTCATTCAGACTCGTGCTATTTTGGTGCTCTCTGGAAAAATTACTCGTGCGTGTTTTATCCAAATTGCACTCGAAATCATCATATTACCTATTGAAAAATAACATTAGTTTGAACTATAAACGCAGAGACAAACCAGACGCCATGCATTCGACGACGTGGCCCAATTTTCCGATAACTTTGATCCTGGTTTAAGTTTTTCAAATTTTTAGAAGGGCTATAACATTTTGAGTTTTTGGTCTGCCGATTCAGCCATAATCGTCACAGGTCCGACTGTCATAAGTAATCGCACACATGAGATTATTAGGGACGGACCATTAGAAAAGTGATGGGGGGGGGGGGGCAAAACCAAAAAAAAAATTATTCCCAGGAAAAAATTATGGGAAGAAAATCTTTCCAGGTATAGTGCAAAAAAAAATTCCTTGCTTGGAAGATAGGCCTATAAATTTAACTTAAAAAAAATATTTCCAGCTATCAAGTGAGAAAAAGAAAATTGTTCTATAGGTGTACAGAAAAAAATATATAGCCTGTTGGAAAATCTCCCCCCCCCCTCATCACTTTTTTAATGGTCCGTCCCTTACTTGTGTAGATTAGTGGCGGAGTATAATGTTCATCTGAACTAATTGTCCAATTAAAACACATCACGTGTGCCACATGACGTTGTGATTTTTATCCAGTTCTATGATTACGTAAAGCTACGTTTACACGCTGCAATTAATTGTGTATACGATTCGTTTTCTGGCCGCGTATGTCATTGAGTAAACACGAGTGAGCTGACTACATTTGAAATTTCTTTTCAACGAAACAGCAATGAATTATGGCGCCAGCACTCATTTTAATACGCCAGAATACAAATCGTACGCGATTAATTTCAGACTTACAGCTAGGAGCAGCTGCGAAAAATGCCTTCTGGCAGGAGTCGAACCTGCGATTCCGGTGAAGCGCTCTAACCAACCACAGTTAATAAAATAAGATGGTTTGGCTAGCCGACAAACTTCAAAGGGATTCAGCCCCGGCGGCAAAATATGTTGAGGCACAAAGGGAATAATGTCACGTGACAGCGTTTAGTGCATGGCCTGTATCAAAACAATAGGTGGTTATATTACAGTTGTCATTGTTCTCATGTTTCGTCGCGATATAACTGCTCTTAAATAAATCAGTTTCTTGTGTTACATGATGGCTATTATCATCTAATTTTACTTATATTAAATATTATTATACTACTGTATTATTATATATAGCTTATACTTTATACTCATATTATTATATTATTATATTATTATATTATTAAATAGCTCACATACACGAGTAAGCAAATAGTTCTAAAGATTATAGAGAAAACCCCATATAGAGAAAACACCACAAATAACGTGAACGGAAATGAATGTGGTCAGAGAACTTTCTACCAACGACCACAGCATTGCGCATAGGAAATGCGTCAAGATGGCAAAGTCATGCATCCACTGACTAACTCTATAAAAGTTAGCTTCACGCATCAGTGAACATTAACATTATGATTAGCATTATGAAAACTTTCGTTGGTAACCTGCCACTTGCCCTTATCCTCGCCCTTCAACATTTTGACGTATACAGGGCTGCAAATAAATATTTGACTTGATGGGACATTTGTCCGATCACTTTTAGTTTTGGTCGGACATAACTTGAATTTGGTCGGACAAAAACCAACACCACTACACTTGGTCGGACATATATACGTCACAAGATATCTATGTCACGAGACAAGTATGTGTAGCCATTCTGGCGCAACGTTAAGTAAAACGCTAGAATGCCTCGTAAGTTTTATTGCAAAATGAGTGAATTTGCAATCGGATTTTGTCACAGCAAAAAAATGTATAATGTGACAATTTTTTTTTGTGATCGGACCAATGTGCGATCAAAATTACTTTCGCTCGGACATTTGCCAAATTTAGTCACGGACATTGTCCGATGTCCCACAGTAATTTGCAGCCCTGCATGTATGTTACTTCAGCTGGAGTTCCTATCGAAGTATTCAGTGATCACAACCACTGGGTTTCATCCACCGAATGAAGGACAAGAATCAATGTTTGTTGCGATGGAGCTTGATCTTATCGGAATACAACATGAACATACAACACATAAAAGGACAAGACAACGTGATCGCTGATTGTCTTTCAAGACCATGAACACGCTACGAACACGCTACATTGAAAAGAAAGTTAAGAAACTTCATTTCTTTCAAGGGGGAGGGTGTTACATGATAATGCTTATCATGTAATTTTGCATATATCAAATATTATACTATACTTATTCATATTAAATAGCTTACATGCATGAGTAAGCAAATAGTTTTAAAAATTACGATGTCCCACAACTAACGTTGCGGACATGACTCGGTTTGGCGTTGGCCGATTTGTGGTTACTGAAACTTGCTTTAACGAACTGTATTGCGTAGGGGAAATGTGTCGTAGTTTTGTAGTTTCTTCCCCTAGAAGAACGTATATATAAAAGCCTGAGCACAGCTAGACAATTGATGCATTATTCATAAGGCAAAATCCTGAATAACATCGCCGTGAAGATATAGAAACTATAAGTGAAAGAAAGAATTAAAACTGGATTATACAAAGGTGGAGATATTAAAGATAAAGAATTGTCAGGAATTGAAGAGTTGTGCTCAGTCGTGAAAAGAGATAAGTTTGAACAGATTTAAGAATTATATTATATATATTAGGGAAAGTTATAGAGACGCTAATTATTAAGTAATATATAAGACTATAAGTAAAGAAATAAAAAAATATCATTGAAAGTAATTGGTTTCACAATCTTTGTTGCGGGCAAATAGAACCAAAAGCGCGGCCAAATAAATTAGTAAGGGCCGGCTCGTAACACATGTCAAACTTAAATATAACAAAGTTATAATTATGGACGACGATTTGGAGGCAATAGTGTCTATTCCAGAAGAATTAGAAGACGAATTTAGTTCGAGCAACATTGGCGAGGAGTTAGCGCTTGTTCAGGATGATGAAAGCTTTGAAGATCGCTTTAGTATAATTTTTGTCAAGAGTATTCCGTCTGACAAATTATGCAATGACGCTCTTGATTCACCATTGCTAAAATCGCTCTGGGAAAATATAATACAGAACTGTGGTCAGAAAACTTCAAAACAAACACAAAAACTTTGCTTGGAAAACATAATAATACTTTATTTGAGAGTTTGTAGTTTCTCACAGCTTCTATATAAGCAAGTTTAAGGTTCAGCAAAAAGCAGCAAAGAGAAATCTCTAAGGAAAGAACTAAAAAGGAAAAGTGAGGAAAATAAGTAACATGGTACATAATGTACTTTTGTAAACTTATTATGATATATTAAAGAAATTGTATCCTGTAATCTTGCCTCTTTTTTGGGGAATTCTTAATTTCCTTGTAGTTTTAATTAAATTGAACTTCATTGTTTATAATAAGATGGAAGTACGTAAGGACTGTTTTGCCAAATGTCACACATATTACCATACATTATGGAAAACGTATGATTGCGATATGGACAGCCCATGGAAGGCCGACAAAGAGCAAACTGCTTTCACACCTTTGCCAAATAGAAAAAGGAGTCTGATTAGAAATGGCTCACTATTTGTTGGGACACTTCTTGGAAATGCAATTGCTCAATTTTGCTCAATTTTGTTCAATCTAACTCTTTATCCCGTGCCCAGTTCCCCCATCCAATCTAAAACCTCAAGGCTAACAACAAAATCAAGAAGCCCAACCAAAGTCCTGTTGAGACATTGATAAATTTTTAATAAAGTCAATTTTTAATAACTTCTGAGATTATTTCGGATTATTTATCTGGAAGAGGAATTTCCCCGACTTTACTACGAGTTTTCCCCAGTCGACATAAAGGAACAATCTCCGCTAAAGTTAATGTACGCGTTGCTCATGTCGAAACCATTACCAGAGATAACTTTTGGCCCAAATTTGTTGTATGCAAACCTTGGATATCAAAAGACAAATTTCATCTGAAAAAGAACAATGTCGGGAACTATGAACAACACTAGCAACAACAAGAAAATATTTCTTTAAAAAAAGAAATAATGTTTCGTTCCAATATAATTATAGAAATACCAGACGTCTGTAATCACTTGTATATGTCCGGAGGGTCTAAACTGCAGGTTGCAGGCCGGTCTAAACTGCAGGTTAGTGCAGGTTAATGCAGGTCAGTGCAGGTTAATGCAGGCCGGGTAATGGTTCATGTACTTTAGTCTGTGTTGCCCAGTCGGTTTGACAACTGGCTTAACATTACATGGGGCCAAAAAATCACGTTCAAAGTAAGAAAATAACATCCTGGTATCGACGATAACCGACGTTAATAAAGTAATCTACAAACAGGCCGCAATTTTTTAAACTTTGCATATAACCTAAGGCCTTGATACACTAGGGAAAGTTTCCTAAACAAAGTTTCTGAAACATTTTTTTAGGTGGAAAAACTGCAAGAATTTGGACTCCAAGGAGATTCATGCTCAAAAAGTGAAAAATCTTCCCAGTCATTCAAAATAAAACAAAAGGTTTAAGATTTTTTATGATACGAATGAAACTTGTTTCATAAAAGTTTGTTTCGGAGACTTTTCCTAGACATAGTGTATCATCAGACTTGCTCCAAGTCTCTCTTTCATTGTCATATCGATCCACTATAGTGTACATTACATGACGTAGTACGGAGGGGCGGAGCGTGAAAGAGAGACTTGTCAACTTCGGAAAATCTCGGTTCAAAACTGAACTGAAGGACTTGCTTTAATTGTTTTCTGTCAGTGTTTATATGTATTGATCTAGCACAGTGTAAATAACATGAGTTCCATTATAGTAAATAATACAGAAAGAAATTGAAGGAAATTAGAAAAACAATAGTTGTCAAACCGACTGGGCAACACAGGCTAAAGTACATGAACCATTACCCGGCCTGCATCAACCTGCACTGACCTGCATTAACGTGCACTGACCTGCATTAACCTGCACTGACCTGCATTAACCTGCACTGACCTGCATTAACGTGCACTGACCTGCATTGACCTGCAAGCTGCAGTTTAGACCAACCTGCACCGACCTGCAACCTGAATTAACCTGCAACTTGCAGTTTAGACCCTCCGGTATACGTCGAGCAATGAAATTGGTTCATTTTGTGAGGCGGGCGGGTTCTGGTAATTTTTGCACGTATTAGTATAAATTTTCATTACCTGGAGGGGCCGAGCGGTCCAGAAATACAGTAGTAGTATTTAAAATGAAGAAAAACAAAGAAAACTATATAATAAATATATACCGCTGTTGGCGCTTGAATACTTCAAATATAAAACATCGTGCCTGTAGATTTAAACTGAAGTTCAGGCCCTAAGATTTTGATTGGTTACAAGTTCACATAAACAACAGTTTTAAAAATAGCTCGGTCAAGGCATAGAATAAGGTCAAGGGCTCAAGGGGACAATAATAATATAAAGGTCAAACGCACGTAACAAATCCATTATCGATTTCTTCGAATTTCTTTTCTTTTATGCTTTATGGCAGAAAATAAATCAAACAAATAGTATTTTGAAAGGTCTTTATCAAAATCTTTGACGAATTTTGGACACACGACGCCGAAAGAACAGCCAAACTATTCATCTATTCGAAAGTTTGTTGTTGACAGCCAAGATGTTCTGCCAACTGGCTTCGCCGGCAAAAGTCTTATTTTTAATATCAGGTCCTACCGGCGTTGTTTTCTGAGCTACATCGCCTTCTTCGTGGTACGATTGAGAATTTTATTGTTGCTGTTGTTAGAACGTTAGAGTATATCCCTGGTATATCCGCGTCCAGCAAGTTGAGACCTTGAGAAAGCTTGGCAGTCAAGCCGTGCACAGAACTGACTAATTGAATCTTTGTTTGCTGTTCGGTTAAATAGAGAAACTGACTCTTAATTATATAAAAGTACCTTAAATTTTTAAGTTTAATTAAAAAGCAAAATGCACACTCTGCGGACATGTTCATGAGAATATAAATTTTTTGTGTGACGAAATCTATAACACTTGTCAATCATATTGCATGCTGTATCTAAAAATAACATGTGAGCGTCCCACGGTCTAGACAGGTTTTGTGTCAGGCCCTATTTAAAATTAGGGCCGGAACTTCAGGTTAAGTTAGCATGTTCTCATAGGTTGATATATAATTAACTAAGATTTCCGATTATACGCCACGCCTCCAAAAAACTTCTTATGCTAGGAGCGGTCATCTCATTGGACGATTCTAAATGTAATTGACGTTTGAGCAAGAATACTGGCAAAGGGTTGGATAACTTTGATCTCTGACGTCACTTTCCTGTGATATTGCTCGAAACCAAATACAGTACCGTTTCGTTCCTGCTGGGAAGAGATGAAATTGAACCTGATGCCGAGATTCTTGTTTGTGACTAATTATTGCCAAAAGATGCAAAGCAACTAACTATTTGTGTATGTTATCGGCCTCCAGACTATGACGACTTTATTGAACCGTTTGCCTCTTTATTGGCCAAGTTTAATCCTGATGATATCTCTCGTCTATATATCCTTGGTGATTTTAATTTCCCTTATATTAACTGGGGTACAGTTTCTGATACACAAGACTCTGGAAGTGTGGAAGTGCAAATTATTTTTGTGATTTGCTAAACAACTACTTTTTAACCAAAGTAGTGAATGCATCAACTAGATATTCTGGTCAATAAAATAACGTGGGGTCTATTCAGGATTTAATTTTATGCAATTTCCCTGATAATGTACAGTATCAGAACTGAGAATTGAGTCGGATATTTTTTAGTCCGATCATTTGGTTGTTAATTTTTGTATTGAAGCTAAAGTCTAGCGTCAAAAATAAACAAAACGTACTTTATAATTTTCATAATGCAGATTGTTATGGCACGAGGCAATCTTTGCGCTTCATTGATTGGGACAACGTATTGCTGGAAAACGAAGATGTTAACGAAAGTTGTCAAAAATGACAACAAGTGTTTAGAAAAATTGCTGGTCAATATGTAGCAAAGGTACGCGTTCGCGACATCCACCAGCCGCCTTGGGTAGACAGAGAAATCGTTCATTTATTGCGTAAGAAGAATAATCTTAGGCGCAAGGCTAACGTTGTTTCTCATCATGAGATTTCAGCGAGTGAGCCACGTTTTAAGGCGAATTTATTTAATAATTATTCTCAATCCGTATTTAATGCCCCAGTTGCTGGTGAATCTGTTGTACCTCTGCCTACTCTGAACTATACCACACATGGTGTATTATCTGATATTGTCATTTAGAGGGATTTCGTGAGCAAAGCTCTTCGGTATCTTGACGTAAACAAGGCTAGCTTTGGTATCCCTTCACGGCTTCTTAAAGAATGCTCTGAAGAAATTACTGTACCTGTAACTACTTTATTCATCAAGACACTTGGTACTGGTGTGTTTACAAATCAGTGGAAAGATGCTAATCTTGTCCCGATACATAAGGCTGAACGAAAGTCAATTGTCTCTAATTATAAAGGAATTTCATTGCTTGATCAACTGTCAAAAATCCTTGAAAAAGGTGTTTTTGGTAGATTGTTTGACTTTGTTTCACCAAAGCTAACCACTTGGCAACATGGCTTCTTTCCTGGCCGTTCCACCGTTACCCAGCTACTTCAAGTAGTTCATTTACTTTCTAGCGCCCTTGACAAAAAGCAACAGGTTGACTTAGTTTATTTGGATTTTTCGAAGGGGTTTGATAGAGTGCCACATGATAAATTTCTCCCCAAGCTCGGAACTATCTAAAGATTTCCATTTTCCATCTACAAAAGAAACAACACATTGCTTTATCAGACTAGTCTTTGATACTATTTTTTATCCCCGAGCCAACGTTGTGGAGCGCCGTTCCGGGCGTAATCCCGGGGCGAGGTTACTAATTCCCCCCGGCTCTTTACACCCGGGGAAACGAAAGCATTAGCCAAGTCTAAAGTTCATCAATAAGCGCGGGCGTCGGTCACCAACGACGTGGGGTGGTCATCCTCACTGATCTCAAAAATATGGCTGATTGCTTGTAGGAGTGGGATGAGCAAGATTTCAATTTTAAAAGACATATATTTGGAAAATCGTTTCATACACAAGCTTGAAGCAATTTTGTTTGAAGAAATGAGAAGAATTGATTTACTGTGGGAAATCGTGAAATATACGGCAAGTTTGCTTTGAATATTTAATGTTTAGTATGTTTACGAATTTTGTTGCTTTAAACTTTTTGCCTAAAAACATGAACTGTTTTCCTTTTCAACGAAGCTCTAAGTTTCATAAATTACCGTTTAATTTGAGAAAAATTCTTCAAATATAAAGGAGAACAAATTAATTTGAAGACTGAACTGAAATTACCTAACAATTTGTTTTATTTGTAACTTATTTACATGTTTTATTATTAGTTTATCGGCAAATGAACTATAGTTGAATGAACATTTCAAAACATTTTACGAAGCGTTTCAAGATAAATTTTACATTAACTCTTTCTCGACAGGCCGGTTTCGTATTACATTTCGATTCAATGTTTCTAATATAAATATCTCGGCGAGTATTTACCCCCCTTTTAAATAAATTCCACCATTGAAATCCTCACAATATAACCTTTCGAACGGGGGGTCAAGTGCCGTCAAAACGTTACACAAACCGAAACAATCATATATTTATACTCACCGCTTCGCCAAACATTCAAACGAGAAAATGAGAAAAAGTTGAATATATTCTAAACTTTGGTGTCATTTCCTGAAAGGATATATGTGTAAAATACTCTTTGTATTCAAGCGCTTTCGTGTAGAAAGTTTCGTATGTATACGCCGACTAGAAATACTTATTTTGAATTTTTAAAGGGAAATGGCAATATATTTTTTTATTTTCTCATTTGAAAGAACTTTTGAAACTATTTAATAACTTCTTTTACCGATTCTTCATACCTTGCTTAGTTCTTGAAATATTTTCACTTGAAGTAATGAGATGTCAGCCATCTTGGATACATTTATGATCTCATTAACGGTAGTTTTGGTGACGTCACAACAGGGATTAACCATATAAAAGTATTCGTTGCTGACCAAATATTGATTGGCAGATGTTTTAAAGGTTTCAAGTGATCTTGATATTTCGAAGGGCATACAGAGTATAATTTTGAGTGCAAAATGATTAGTGGTTGTCTAGATAGAAATATTGCGTGACCCCTGTTGTGACGTAACATGCATATCTACAAAAATCCAAGATGGCGGACATTTCATTTCTTTCGATTAAAATATTTGTAGAAGAAAGCAAGATATGAAAAAACGGTAAAAGAGTTTTATATATGCTTTTTAATGTTCTTTCAAACGAGAAAATAAAAAAATATATTGCCATTTCCCTTTAAAGTATCGGGTTTTACTAGCACGCGCTTGTATTACGTAATACTTGGCCAATAAGGAGCTCCCTTTAGCCGGGATGACGTAAAACTCACGCGTATGGGTGCACTTTGACCTGTAGAATCCATTTCTGGCATTTCCAGAGTCACACGATACAAACTTCGCATTGTTTTGACGGTTTTTCGTCGTATTTCCGGTTGGGATTAACGCAAATTCCGGGCAGAAATGCAAAATTCGGCAAGAAAACTCACATTTTAAAGATAGAAGCTTGAAAATAACAGTATACATGTTATTTTTAACTGCTTCATTCATCAAGACTACCAGAATGAGCATACGTCTCAAGGGGCCGAAGTTATGTTCGGCGAAAGGTATGTCTATGTTTATAATTTGTTAGTAATATTGTGTAATTTGATCAAATAGTGACAAATACCAAGCTCGCTTGACTTTCAAGGCTCATAAATCGCTACAATTTAGCCACTGACTAAAACTATCGTTATAAATTAGTGTATATTTTTATACTGAATCGAATGGTGGTATTTTCATCTTACATAGCGTGTACTGAACCAAAGATATGAACGAATTAACATCCGTAGACCGTGCACGTCCTACGCGTAATGGACCCCGCTGAGAAAGAGTTAAATCAAAGCTCACAAAATGCAAAATAATATACCTACAGTATATGTTTCGGAAATTTATTGTTGTATAGTTAAAAGTACGAATTTTTCAACTATTTTGCAGTTTTGGACAAAAAATATGAAAAAATTAAAAATTTAAGAATTTCGTGTTGTCATGGCAACACTTGAGCGCGAGCCTGCGTTCAGTGGGCCATTTCTGAATACTTCATGTTAATTTAATGTTTGGAAAATATTGGCGTGGGGTTACTGCATGCATGTATTTCTAGTCTATATATTGCGAATAGTTCAATAAATATGAACAAAGACCTAGACAATTACCATGCATATTGTGCGCGCTATAAAAACGAGTCAATACTTACGATCTACTGTTAAGTGTCGTTCACAACATAAGAATAGATTGTTCTCATCGACATCGCTTCTCTCGCTCGTAAAACCACACGAAGCCATTCCTTTAATTATGGGCGGTGACCTTCAATGCTTAAGTCTTGTCTCCATCGTTCAACGAAAGACTGCTCTTTCGACTAGTCGAACAGCCAAAAAGTGCACAGTTTATAGCACCCAGCATTGCGCTGCTATGGAAAAAAAGCAGTTTGCTCGAAGATTTCGGTGTAGCAATGTTCGCGTCTCATATTACAACCTATATATTAATAGATTTGTTTGTGGAAACAACACGTAAATTTATTACTGCAAAGCTTTCGATCCGTAAGCCCGGATCTTCATCAGTGCTAATAATATGTGACTTGTTTAATTCACACGCTCTTTTAATAAATAAATAATAAATAATAAATTTACGTGGTGTTTCCACAAACAAAACTATTATATTTTTTCGCCATGCAAACATACAAAGAACCTATATATTGTTTGTCACCCATGCACTAAACTCTGTCACGTGACCTCAATTATCGAGAATAACATATCTGGGGGTTGTCCAGCTAGCCAAACCATCTTATTGTCCAGCTAGCCAAACCATCTTATATAACTGTGAACCAACTGAGCTAAAGTGTCCAGTTGTCAAGCTTACACCACAAGTTCGTGTATATATAAGGTATAGTGGGAGATGTAACAATACCTTGTGACGTAAGCCCCTCTCCCCCAATCGGTACGAGTACGTTTTTTGTAACTACTAAAAACAAGCTAGAGCTTCACAGCTTTTTACTTTTCGCCCTTAGTCTTGCAGGTAACGACTACAGTTTAATCGTATTTTCTATATTTGACCACAGTGTTTGAAAAGTCCGTGCCCAAGCCCTGCCTTCCTCCCATGGTGCCCCATTTCATTGGTCGACAACAAAGTGTTGAAGAAATTTCGCGTGTGTTGACATCCATATCTGCTCGGCTAGTCTCTGTATCTGGACCCCCTGGTTTTGGAAAAACCTCATTGGCAATTGCAGTAGGACACCAGCTAAGACAGCTCGGACTACCAGTTTATTTCCTTTCCTTGAGAAGCGTCAAGACAGCGGAAGAGCTGACCTCTGACCTCTTAAACACATTTGCAAATGCGTCTGATGTAACGGGGGGAGAGCGTTCAAAACTATGCAGACTCCTCAGTGCAATTCCTTCTAATATCTGCATCATCCTCGATAACGCCGATGTCCTTTTTGAGAGTGGTGGTGAAACGAGCCAAGAAGTATTCGACCTTTTGGAAAAGATCTTTTCTGATTGCAAGAATGTGTCCTTTCTACTGACCACAAGAGCGAGTCTTCAATCGGTGCTGGGAAGAAAATTTGCTGGTCACACGTCTATCGGTGTTGTATCGCTAGACAGGAAATCGTCACAAATGCTTGTTCAAGAACTTGTCCCTGCTGCTGATGAAAGTGAATGCTGCAGAGTGGCTGAGATTTGTGGAGATGTTCCACTGGCCATCAAGCTTTTGTGCGGTCAAATCGTTGACGAGAAGAAGAGTGCATCTCAATTCCTTGACCACTTTAGCTGCTCTTCAAAAACGATAGTAGCGTTGTTAGACGATCCAGATGCGCCTAATGATCAACGTTTAAATATGTTGTTTGAGTCTTATTTCAAAAGACTATCTCGAGAAGAGCAAGAAGCATTTGTTTGCCTTTCTGTTTTTGTCAGTGAAGTGTTCGACGAGCAAGTTGCGGTAAACGTGATTGGAGGAGATGAAGACACAGCAAAGAAAACTTTGTTCAGACTCAAGAGAAAATATTTGGTTGAAGGAAGTTCCTCCGAACCAGTGCTGTTTTCCTTTCACCCTCTGATCAGGTCATTTGGTTCGGAAAAATCAGCTGGCATGAAAGAAATTGCTTGCGAAGCAGAAAGGCGATTCCTAATATATTACGTCCAGTTGTTTGAAGATTTAAACAGCCAGTTTCTTGCTGGAAATTCTCTTCTTGCATTCCACGATTTCGAATTTAACAAAGAAAATATGGTACATAGCCTCTCCAAAGGTCTTCAAAACAAGGCTGTCTGCGACACACTTTTCGATGTTCTTTCCGATGCGGATTTGTTTTTGGACACCATTTTTTACTTTGAACGTGGCTGGATGTTTGACAATATTTATAATATAGCAATAGTCAAGGCAAAAGAGCAGCGTAGATTTAAAGCTGTCCACCAACTGTTAATTGGTAAAGCTGTTGCTGAGATAACCTGGTATAGTGGAGTTACATTGGCATTACTAAAAGAGGCCGAAGAAATAGAGAAGCAAAATCCTCTTCTTATTTCAGAAGTTGTCATGGGAAAACGAATGTGTTACCTTGGTATTCACATGCTAATATGTAAAGCGGAATCGAAAGGAGGCGAAATTCTTGAAACCGGGATATCTCTGTTGAGTTCTGAGAATACTGTACTTAAGGCTTTATGATCCCAGATTCTTGCTTTGATTACTCTTCACGCAGAAAAGTCTTCCTACTATTGGAACATTGTTTTAACTGAATGCGCTGACAAACCAACCTTGTATGCTTTCTTCAAAGCTATACAAGAAGGCTATTGCGCTGGCGAGAAAGTGAATGAGAACCCAAAAGCTTTAGGCCAACCACTCATTTTGACACTAGCTCTTTTCATATACAACATCGCGTATAACAATGACATGAAAGAGGTAATCTATAAACTTGGTTTGCCAATCTCGCAGTTAAAGAAAAAAATCGAAGTCGAAGCACAGAACGACCGTCTATACTTACCATTGCTCTTCATCGTTGAAAATACCCTGGCAAAGGTAAAAATGGAGCAAGAGAGTCCAACAGCGATGCAGCTCGCTCTTGATAATTTTGTAAGAGAATATGGTCGGCTAAACCCGGAGACAGCCGCAATGTACCGTAACATTGCATCAATTTTATGCACACAGAAGAATTATGATGCTGCTTTGACATGTCTTTACCAAGCACTAGACATCAGATTGAAGCTTTATGGGCTCAACCATGAAGATACCGTCGACAGCTATTTCGTGATTGGACGTACCCAACTTGACAAAAAAGATTACAATTCAGCATTGCAATCGTTCGAGAAAGCACTTGATATCAGCCAAAATCTTCATGGGAAAATCCACCCAGACGTTTCCCTCGCTTGTCATCTGATTGGACTGACAAAGTATTGCTTGAAAGAGTACGATTCAGCTGTGCATTGGCACCAGCAAGCCCTGGATATTAGGGTAGCGTTCTATGGAAAGGAACACCCAGCCGTCGCTGAGAGCTACTCCCGTATTGCAGAATGTCAGTGCGAAATGCAAGATTATGATTCTGCTCTGGAGTCATGTCAACACGCACTTGATATCAGGTTAAAGCTTTTTGGACAGGAGAGCGAAGATACAAGCGAAAGTTATGACCAACTGGGATTTATACGAAGTCTAGAGAAAGTTTGCGAATCATCTCTCGAGATACAGAGCAAAAATTCTTGAAACAAGAACAAAATAACAAGGTGTAGTAACCATATATCTATAGTAACACGATGGTTCGAGTAAATACAACTTATAAAAGAACACGATTAAATGACTTATAATAACCAATTAACATCAGAATTTCGGTTAGAGAACATGCATCATGTAATTTGCCCACTTATTTCAGCCAGTGCAAATCAGTCATGTTTTACCCTGTCTTTCAACAGGTGCTTTTTGTAATAATACTAGAAAATTAAATAAATTATACGAGTTTATAAGAAATTATACGAGTTTATAAAAGAAATTATTTCATAGTTGAGTCGTTTGCATTTTTTGTTACAAGCTGCCAACTGACATTTTCGTATAGCCTAAACATTGGTGAACAAGACTATATATGGATGTTGGAACTTGTGATTTTGGCTTGATTGAAATCTCGTGCCCAGAGCCATATCCCTCTGGGTACGAGATTCGCTTAATTAACTAATATATAATGTAAATATAAACTATTTTAGTCAATTTAAATAGTTTTAAGCCATTGTAAGCGCATTGAGATTGTTAAATGCGCATAAGAACATTATTATTATTATTTATTATTGTTATAGCCGAAAATTTGAAAATTTAAAATTTTGGACTAAAAATGCAAAATTTTCAAACCGGTTTTGAGTTAAAGAATTTTGAAGTTGGCAAAATAGTAGCTATTGGCATAAATATGCGCATATTCCTCATGTTTGCGCGTTAAAATCTCAAAATCGGCTACGAAGGAAATCATACTACTCGCTTAAATGTCTTACACAGCATATACTTTTTGCAGGCAATACATATATACTTTTGCCACAGGTAGCAAGCCCCCGGACCTCTATAGATGGCTAGCGCCCTTGGCGCTCAAAATAGTTACATGACCAATTCTTTTGAGATAGGTTCGTCACAGGGTTCTTTATTGTGTCTATTGTTACATGATAAGCAACATCATGTTATTTTACATATATTAAATTATTATACTATATACTGTGAGGGCTTCATTGAAAGGCATCTTGGGATGAATGAATTTCCCTCAATAAAATATTATTATCATTATCATCATACTTATATTCATATTAAATAGCTTACATGCATGAGTAAGCAAATAGTTTTAAAATTTATGATGTCCCACAATTAACGTAACGGATATGACTCGCTTTGGCGTTGGTCGATTTGTGGTTTACTCAAACTTGCTTCAACGAAATGTATTGCGTAGGGGAAATGAGTCGTAGTTTTGTAGTTTCTTCCCCTTTCAGAGTGTATTTAAAAGCCTGAGCACAACTAGACAATTCATGCATTATCCATAAGGCGAAAGCCTGAATAACATCGCCGTGAAGATATAGAAACTATAAGTTAATGAAAGAATTAAAAGGATCATACAAAGGCGAAGATATTAAAGATAAAAAATTGTCAGGAATTGAAGAGTTGTGCTCAGTCGTGAAAAGAGATAAGTTTGAACAATATTAAGAATTATATATATATTAGGGAAAGTTATAGACGCTAATTATTAGCCCGCGTGCAGGCCCAAGGGTAGAATAGTGGGCCTGCAATCAAGGCCCGGTATTTTGTACTTTCCGCGTTCGCCCACGAACGCAGCATTCTGATTGGCTATTTGCTGTTGTATTCTATAATTAGATCAGTGATTCATCACAAAGGTTCTCGATAAGCTTAAAATTCGGAAATTGATAACTTTTTTCGATTAAAAATGGAACAAGAACCGACTGTTTATTGTTTACTTGAAGGAAGAGATGTTTTTGCCGTTGTGTCATTGGGGATTGCTTGTGGTGAAGTATTGGAATAGCAACGTTACGACTGGGGTAAACTATAGTAACCTACACTTGAGATTCATTAATTTCAAACAGACTTGATACGTTATATGTTCCTGAAGAAAATTACTTTGTTCTTGCACTGAAGAAAACAGCGCTTTTCGCGGTGAAGATTTAGAGGCAGTTGAATGTAAGCCTATTCGAAACACTTTGCGATTTGCAAGGCTTCGCTGAGAGAGCGAAACAGGATACGGTCATTGCCGTTTAAAGCGAAACGATTTGGACGCTATGAACGCTCTCTTCTTTTGTAGAGTTCTTTACCAAATGAAATAACTGAAATAAATTTCGTACTTTCCGCCGCCAACAAGAATTGCAGACACGATCTGATAAGCGAGACAATTTATTTATAACAATGGCGACAGCGAAGCACTCGCACGACTTCCCTCACGATTTGAAGTTTGAGAGTGGCTTTCTGTTGAAATTCGTCCTAATTTGCCTGTTCCGATTTTGGTTGAAAATGAGCACTTGCAAGTTTGGCAATTACTGACTGCGTTCCTTGTTTCTTTGGAGTTAAAACGCAGCCATTTACACATTGTTTCTGTTCTGAATAAGCAGAGAAAACCCCGCAACATTTTAAATTTTTGATGCGAGTTTGTTGTTAATATTTGGGTTGCTGTCATTGGTTCTTTTTTGACAATTGACGCGCGAATGGGGCGTGTTATGAAAAGGGGCGTTTTACAAAATACCGGGCCTTGCTTGCTGGCCCACTATTCTTCCCTTGGGCCTGCAAGCGGGCTACTAATTATTGAGTAATAGTTGAAGACTATAAGTAAGAAAATAGATATATCATTGAAAGTAATTGGTTTCACAATCTTTGTTGCGAGCAAATAGAACCAAAAAGCACGGCGAAATAAAATAGTAAGGACCGGCTCATAACACTATGTAAGAAAAATTTAATACACGTATATAGGGCAGCTTTCCACAATGTACAAAATGTCAGTGATACTAACACCACTGTCAGAACCAGGTTGATGCCAAAAGAAGGCACCACTAAGGCGATGTAGATCTACATACACAGTCTATACATTTGTACGCTATTGCACAAATATCTGGCACAGCCACGTGGGAGGGGGTCTCGACTCCTCCCCACTTTTCTTCCGGAACAATTTTGTATTTTTTTCAAAACTGAGAAGAACATGGGGGGAGGGGTGTAACCACTCAATATTTTTATATTTGACATAAAATATCTAAAAATTGTGGCTTTTAGATTAACACAAATTTTGCATAAAATGCATGGAATAGGGTTTTCGAAAACCTTAAACCACTGCCGTAAACATAGCAATACACTCCGGGGTCCACGCTGTCGGACACCCAGACAATTAGGGCCCAACGCCCCTAACTGCACCATTAAGATGGATGCACAAATACTGGCATTTCTGATCGAGGTTACGCCTGCAGTACAGCACAGGTAACATTCTTTCTATTGGTTAGAATTTGTCCTCTGACTTTCTCCTTTTTAAAATTTTACAACTTGGGGTTTTCTTTCTTGGGAAAATATTTTTGGGAACTCAAAATTGTAAGGGACCAATGGTCCTGTGGTCCACTCTTGGGCTTTAATATCATCTTAAATATAATTTTTTTTGATATTGTGTTTATGTCATGCAGAGCTACTTATCTGAGCATGGAACTAGCCTTAATGCTAATTCTAAAACTACTCATTGATCATTGACAGTGAAAAGGAAATCTCCAATGAGTTAATCGAAGGGTCTACGTTAATTTAATTTAACTTTTTTTGCTTCCAGGAAACATGTGCTGGAAGGTTTTACTGTAAGAAAAAAGAGCAAAATCACTCGCAAAATTTAAAATCTCACAATTGCTCAATTTACCAAAATAAAGTCACTCGATACTCGCTAAAGTTTCCAAGTGAAATAGTTTTTTTTACCAAGAAAGGCTAAAATTTTACTTGCATTTGCAACATTGCAAGCGTTAAGTCGAGACTCGAGTTAACCATCAGAGGGGGAGGTTGGGAGAGGGGGGCGGTATCCGGAACGTACTAATTTCAAGACGTATTCTTGTCCATACTAGTTTTGGTCAGCATGGCAGACAGGCCTAGAAAATATATTTCCCTTCCTGGCAGCAAATTCCAATATAAAACTTTCTGCATATGCAGATTTCAGAGAATGTATGGTGCCGCACATTGTGATAAACTTCAATCTAGGCACAAGACAATCTCGACTTGCAAAACATGTGTGTTTAACATAAAGTAAATTACATGGCCAGGTCTAGAATATCTATTGCTCTTCCATCTTGTTGGCAGATAACGTCATCCCATGGGTATAGAAAAAGCCACGTTACGACTTCAGACCTCCCCTGATGAAGACACTAGACTGGAGTGTCGAAATGTTAGGTCGTGAATGTAATTTACTAGGTTTTCCATTCATTTATAAAAACCAGAGTAGCGAGCGAAAATGTGAGTGATATACCTGTATGCCGTGAACTCACAAACTTTAAACCATTATTTTTATAATAACCAGACCTAGAAAATATATTTTTCTTCCCAGGAATAAATTCCAAAAGTAAAACTTCCTGCACAATAATATCGATTTGCAAATGTGTTTTTGTAAACAATAAGTGAATTATATGGCATTCCAGTATATAAGATGACAAATATTTCCTGCAAGATGTAAGATTTCCTGTGAAGATATTCTGTTAAAAATTTCATGGCCGCTGACATTTGCCAACACTGATTATAACCTCTTTCAAGTTATGTTTTCATCGGCGTATTATTATATTTCGGCCAGGTTATGTTTTCATCCGCATTTGTATATGTGTGTGTCTGTCTGTGTTTGTCTGTCAGCATGATAATAAAAAACCATCAACCATATATTAAATAGTTACAAAAATTTGTGGTACTGATCGAAGTTGCCCAAGCACAAATTAATTGAATTTTAGTTCAATTTGGATAAAAATTGGATAAAAAAGGTTTGTCTTATTTTGTCGGCCAGAGTAAACTGAATACATAATTAACCCATTGTATAATTTATGCATGATACATAATTTAATTTGCTGGGAAAGGTATGCAGTCTCCAAGTGTACACTAGTTACAGTTGATTTCACAAAACTCTGGCTGAAAATTTTCTGAAGATGGTTCAGCCACGTTCACATGTATGGAGTTTCCCCACGGTGGCGGCACCAGGTGGCACGCCCAGCATTCCCACCTGGGACTCATGCCAAAGCTGACTTTACCACCTTGCCGAGGGGATAGCGCTGGGGCTCAATGGGTTAAGTTAAGCTGCATTGCATTTTAATGCGCCCTACTTTATTATTTTACTCTGTCTAACGCCAAACGATTTTACTCGTCAAGGGCAGAGTGGCAGTGCTGCCACTCAAAGAGTCAAGAGTTATAAAAGTTTACACTATTTAATATCAAAGAAAATATATCATTACCCAGCACTTCAATATTTCCTCGATCAACCACAGGATGCAGGAGTGGCGTTAGAAACACCGCCTTTTGATCTCCAATTGGGTAGGAAGTCGAAGTGAAAAATGTAAATACAAATGCTCGGCCTTTATGGAATTCAACTTAATATGCTTGCATGGTTCTTTCGTGTCAAAATCAATAATTCTTGCTTCACCGTTTGAAAAAGTGCGTATATTCTCTTTTAGTTTTTGAAAATCCATCATTAGTTCATCATTAGCCATGTTTTAAACCTGAAATTTTAAATTTATTTCAAAATTTCCTCGCATTTTGTGTTGTCACATGTGGCTACAAAATTTGCCACAAAATGCCAAATTCCTTGCGAAAAACTCTAACATTCCTTATTTTTCCCCCAAAATTCCTTAAATTAATTAATAAATTAGACCATATCAATTAACTATTTAATATTATTGTTTATTGAAAATAATTGAAGACATTTGATTGGTATATCCGCTCGGTAGCTGTCCAAATTTGGAGTTTTGACATCACCGTGGAATATTGAAAACAAATAAACAAACTTTGACGTAATTTCGCGATCGTGGTATATTGAAAAACAATGTAACATGACGCCACGTCAATTTAAGCGCCTTATGCCAAAAGAGGGAAAATACAAATGGCTTCCTCAAAAGAAAGATTCGTCGACCTTTTTTGTGTATTCCGACAAATAAATAATAAAACAATTATTGAATTCGGTTCTCGGATGATACGAGGAATTATTATAGGCTCTGTTTGTGTTATTTACCTCAGCCTTCCACTTCTGAAGATAACACAAACCTCGGCCTTAATAATTCCTCATGTCCTACTCGACCTCATTCAAAAATTGTTTAATAATTGTATTCGACTACACACGTAAAAATCTCGACGGAACAAGCTTGTAGCAAGCTTGTTGACAACTTGTAACAAAGTTTGTTATTTTATCAACTTTGACAACTTGTAGAAAGCTTGTTGTCAACAAGCTTGTTCTACAACTTGTTGGTTTGCAGACCTGCAGCAAGTTGTTTCAAGAAGATTAATTTACAAGGAAATATGCCAGTTTAGCTTCCGCTAATCTTCCACCGGACCTATTAAAATTAACTGTACAATTAAAGATAGGGTACAGTCCAATCTGCGCATGCGCACATAGAAATTAATATAAATGGTTGTCGAATAAAGTTCAATATTTTGAATACCGACATGTAAACAAATGCTTTGTTTACATACGCACTGTACCCTACCTTTAAATATATTTACATTAAGTATAATTTACATTTCTATACATAATTACATAAAGTACATATCGATATTTATAACAAATTAAAATTAATATACATCTTAAGAGTTGTTTTTATACATATCTAAAAACAATTCATGGACGTAAGCTTGAATGCTTGAAATGAGCTGGAAAATCTTATATCTGGTGGCAACATATTATAAAAATATGCTCCAGTGTATACTGCAGTCCACTCGTGGTGATTGCTTAGTTTATGGTTTCGTACCCATAAGTTCATATTGGCAGTGCTTCTGGTATGTCGCTGGGAAGCTGTTGACAATGGTTTGAACATATTACTTAAATAGTGTGGAGTCAAATTATTTAAAGATTTATAAACTAGGCAAACTACCCTGCGGTATACATAAGTTATGTAGTTTGCCTAGTTTATACAGAACTCCGTATCGGTAAAATTTTTGACTGTTCAAGACTGGTACAAGTTGCCGGTTTGAACAACTTCTACCAAGCTAACAAGCTTGTTGACAACATGCCATATCATCGTCAAGTTGTAACAAGTCCAGCAAGGCAGCAAGCTTGTAGTTCACAAATCTGTACCAAATCTGCCAACAAGTTGTAATGGCATTGTTACTGACGGCAAGAGTTTTCAGAAACTGATTGAATTTGAACAAGACGCAACCTGATTCAAGAAAAACGGACTTTTATTAATCAGCAAAATGTAGCTTGAAGTTTGGTTAAAAAGAAAATAATGAAATTTTGAAATTGGAAAAAAGAAAATAATGAAAAAATGTGGGGGTAAATGTCATAATTTAAAGTATTTGTTATTTAAAGACTTTAAAAGATTGTATCTTAGTGGATATTGGCGATCCTGAAATTATGAGAATGACGCCAAAATTTTGTATTTGCAGGCAATTTGCATCAACGTCTGCATGGGCATATTTATGTCTGGCTCCATATTTTTTTCCCTCCGATATGCCTATGTCTATGTTGGGCACTCTAAGATTGTGGATATAAAATTCCTGTTTGGAAGGATAAATTCTCAGACAATCGGCTTCCCGTCGAGATATTTGGCAGTACACGGAAGTGCGTCCTCGAATCAATTCACTAACCAAGCAGAAAACCGAGAAATAAAGAGAACCTTGAAGTTATTTTATGTCCAAGGCAATAATAATAGTCTACACGCTGTGTAAAGCGAATATTTTCTATGTAGATGTGGAATAGATCAATCCGCACGTTCTGAACGGTGAGTTAAATTAAACTTACTTTTACATATACATATTTTCAGTAGTGGCTGCTCGTTTGTTGGTTGATCTCAATACAGGGCTGAGGTTGACATTTTTCACGGTAGTAGCGGCTATTTTGGCATTCGCATTTTGCATGTAGAGCAGACACAACAAATAATGAAACAGTCTCGCAGAAACTATCCTTGGGGTCAAATAAAGTGTCGAGGATGTGCGTCGTTTGCGAGCGGCAGTCTCCTACCCTCTCTTATTAAGTGAGAGAGATTTTAACTCGGCACTACGTGGTGAATAATATACTGAATGACGGTAAATGTCACAAGGATGAACATATCAACACAGCGAACTCGAAAGTGAAACATTAGCGACAATTAACTGCATTTTTTTTGTCGAATATTTGCACGGATAGTGTTAGATTTGAATATGACCATTTACTATTAATTAGACAAAGCAACATGGTGGTTAATAAAACTATTTTAAATGTCACAGACGGTTTGAAATCTGATCGATACCACAGCAAAATGGCAAATACACCTGGAAGTAGACTTGGTAGAGATAAGCTATATTTGCTGCCAAGCGAAGCGTAGGCAGCCACCTATTCGTGACGACGTTTACAGTTTTTACTCGTGCCAGATCCCCGCGCGACTTATGTATTTTAGCCAAAGCAAATCTCAATTTGTTTGTCGTTCGGTCATTCGGATCGCATTTTCTGACGTCATAGAATGACGTTGTGTAAAAATTTACATACGCACGAAGTGAACGATGTCAATCCGATCACGTCCGTTTAATTTTGACATGACCATTTGGCATATCGCATATTTTTCCATTGCACAAATGCACGAGGCTTTATTTTACAATATTACCATTTGATTTTGGAGGAAAAAGAGTTATATTTTTGAAGGTATGTTGATAAAAATGGTTATTTGAACGTTTGAATGCTTATATATGTATTACATGAACGTGATAGTCTGTTTTTAATACATTTATATAAAAATTCGAATTCTATCTCCTCTAGGTGTATATTTTGGTATGTGTTCGTGGCGATCATTTGGTCAAATCAAATCAAAAGGGGCCGTTCATATTATGTTTTTCAAAAAAGCAGTGAATTGTGAACTCGCTGTACCTGTACCAAACTTGCCAGGGATGTGTGAACTCGCTATATTTTATACTAGCGAAGTGTGATCTCGCTAGCTGGGCAATCGTTGACGTTGGCAATAAATAAAGTTGTATACTGAGAATGTCAAAAGATTAAGCCAACAAGGTATTGTATATCAAATTTTACAAATATATATGTTGTCAATTAGAAAATTGTCAATAAAAATAGTTATATATTACACTAAAATGATTATTAATATTGTTATTATGGGAATATGATATGCAGACATGCAGTAAAACCCTGCATAAAAGAATCAGTGAATTTTGACTTCAGGCTGAAGTGGTTCTTTAATCTTTATATATAATCTTGCTTCACGCTATACTTTTTTTATATTATACACATTAAATAGGGACTGTTGTTGCATAAAAGTATTGCTATGACACTAATATGGTTCTTGTTGCATATATCTAAACTTTAAAAAAAATTTAAAACTTGTATTTTGGGTGCTTAATTGTTCAAACTTCAGGCCTAGTGGTTCTTTATAACTTACTGGTTCTTTTATGCGAGGCATAGACCTTATGCATAATGACGTCTCAAGGCTTGGTGCCTGCGAAGAATGCTCGTCTTAGTAGTCACCACTGTCCAGGAAAATTTCCATTTGAATTGTTTAATTCTCCTGGGCGATGACCAGCATTCCTTGCGGGCATCACACCTTGTGACATCATTATGCATAAGGTCAAATGAGCAGTATGATGTCCAAATTGGAAGACACAATTGTATACGAATGAAAAATTATCTGAGTAACTTGTTTTCGATAATGCTCACAATTTCTTTCTTATTATATAGTTTTGCAGTTCTGACTGAGTGCAATCTTAGTCATTTATACAATGAATGGTGTCATATGAAGCTGAGATATTAAACAAAAATGTCAACAAACTAGATTTTGTGTCCCCCATTGGCCGATTGTTCAGGGGTGGCCTTGAAGGTGCCATTAAAATGAAAATTGGGACAAAAACTGACTTACTGGTAGTATTTCTATGTATGAAATTGTTATTAAATTCTACATATCCAATGATAACCATGACAACTGGTCATGATATGCTAATAAACCTGCATCTATTTGAATAATGCAAATCATTAAAAACTTGCATAGCATGACCTGTAGACTTTCGCAAAGTCCTTCATCTTTGTTTAGAATTGAAAGAAGGAATTTTCAAGGAAGTAATTTCTTGAAGAGTAAGGAATTTGTGGAATTCAATAGAATTAGAATATTTAGCTGAGCTTCAATTTTGTGGAAAGTGTTTTCATATTCAGATTGCACTTTTCCTACCTCCTGAACAGGTGCTTTAGGGGTGTTTTATGTGCTTATGTGATGGAAGGCAAGGGGAGGGGGAGGGGAGGCAGCACTTCCCTTGCGATAGTAATTTCTAGTTTAATATTTATGCTGATATATATGGTATACAATCAACGACGGCTGTGGCCCGAGTCCAATCACTTCCGGCTGCCGGAAATGAAATGTATAAAGCTGCTTTCCACGGAAAGCATGAATGAATAAAAGAACAGCATCTTGTCAGTTTTGTGCATGAATTGAAGAGTATTTGTCGATGTATTTATGTAAAATTTAGAAATATTTAATTAAACTTTTCCATACGTACACGTGAGAAAACTGCTTATAATTACTGCTTTCCAGTTTAGAGGCCATGCTAACAAATTTGTTAGTTTATAAGTGCATATAATATACATATAAGAGAATAATTAAATTAGATACCAGAATATGGGTATTATTTACAGCCAAGACAGGGTGCGATAATTCGCGTACCAACGTACCGGCGGTACGCCAAATTTATGGTCTGGTACTTCTTTGTTTTTAGGCAAGTACCAGGTAGGTACGCGGAAATTTACTATTCGCGTACTTACATTTTCCTTCTAGCAATAACTAGCAGACCTGCCAAAGTATTCAAAACTGTAAAGAACTTTAGCTGTACATGTAAATTTCACGCATCCGACATATTTTGGGATGAAAAAAGCCAAAAGGTTATCTTTGCGCTTGATCAAAAAATTTATCGTCATTGTCCGACTGAAAAAAATCGCTCGGGTGAGCGATTTTAAAACCGTTATCGTCAAACGCCGATAATTTTATCGTTTTCGTTGTAGTGTGGACACCAACATAATTTTTTACCAATTATCGCGTGCTTACAAGTTACAAGTAATTGTCAATGCTATTACCAAGGTCTAAAAAAATACCTGCGATTTCCCGACCGACCCTATTTTTTTCTGCCCACACTACTATTTTTTTCAACACGATTGAACGTGCGACGTTTTTTTAGGCCCAATGAGGAAAACTACACTGTATCATAGATATCTTATATAAACTAGATAGCGCATCTCTTTTAATAAAATTGAAGCCAAGAATATTCCAGCGGTTACCCCCATTTGAATAGATGGCGGCCATGTTGGAGTTTCCCACTCGCTAATAAACGCTTAAAACAACAACAATAACTTTCATCATTTGAATAGTTTGAAAATGTATTTGGAATAGGTTTAACTTAATGTTTAAGTTCCCTGTTTAAGAAATAGAAAACATACGAGTCTTCTCATTTCATGGGAATATCCTGAGTCTGCAATCACGGCTTCAATTTTTGAATTGCAGAATAATTTGATGCACTATCAAGTGTATATAAGATATCTATGCACTGTATGTAGCTGAGGTCAGACTGTTAGCACCATCGGTAAATCCACTGTAAACGAGCCATGGCATTCGAGTCACAACGTCAAGGCTTATGTTGTACAAATACCACAATTAAAGATTCATTTGTACAAAATTGCACATACATTTTTTGCTTTTGGACCAGTAAACTATATAAATAGCTATAAATACCATGACTCGGAAGTAGTCTTAGGTACGTCTTGACTCTCAAGTCTGTACCAGATCAGGTACGCGGCAAAAGTTGTCGGAGTACCAGTCAGGTACGGCTAAAAATATTGAATTATCGCACCCTGCAAGAGCAAAGCTGTACTAACAATGCCTAGCCATTGATTTTGACGTGTTCTTAGGCGACCGCGTGGTAACATTTGAATAAAAAAATTAATTAAGTTCACTTCACAGACCTCTTGAAAATATATATTAAACTCTGTTACAGATTATTTATATTTTGCTTAATTTTCAAAATATTTCGACTGAAAAAAGTGAGCTGTTCGCCATCTTGGATCATTGAGGATATGCATGTTAGGTCAAGAGAGGGGCCACGCTAAGTTTTTTATCTTGAGAGTAAGCGATCAATATGAGTCCAAAACTTCGTCTCTGGTTGCTGTCTGAAATTCAGAAATGATTAAAAACATTTGAAAAAATTTTCGGTCACTTTTGAGTAGATTTATATGGTAAACCAAACTCCTGAAGTCATCAAAACCATAGTTAAAGGGATATGGCAATAAAAATTAACTTTGTCTTATTTGAAAGAACTTTTAAAATTATATCTGAAGACCCTTTACAACTTTTTTGTGCCTCACTCGGTTTACGAAGTACTTTGTCCGAAAACAGTGTGCAGTCCGCCATTTTGGTATTATAATTGACCTACTGTAATTAACTGACTTTTTTTGACGTCACAAAGCAGGTTAAACATGTTAAAACTTCTTCATTAAGAGTAGAAAAAGTGAAAAGCAAGTGTACAGTCGCTAGCCCTAGGCCCAGCGACTAAATATAAAAAAATAATTCATACAACATATGTGATTTCCAAAGTGTAGTGCGACTATCGCAAACCGAAATAAACATATTACATCATTACACATTTTTGTCATTTCACGTATTTCCAAATGACTGAACCCTTGAACTGATTACCATTTGTTTGAAGTTGGCAGTTTAAAATGACACAAATGAGAAACCCAATATAAAATATAAAAAACATATCGTAATGGTCAATGACTATTGCGATATTGTTTGGCATGTGTACATCGTTCCTCCAACATACGATTTTCCCAGCTTTGCCATTATCGCAGTGGACAGCTTTATGCAATGATGAAATAAAATTTGATCTTTATAAATAAGATATGAACTGAACAGATGTATCTTATTTTTGTCACGTTAATATGTTTTAATTTACTGTATATTATCTAAAATTGCAACTACGGTCATTGTTTATAATACATTTATCGCGATATTATCGAATAATTTCCTAAACAATAATCATGATATGATTTGTTTAATATCGCCCAACCCTACTGGAGTTTCGAAACATTGCGTCGTAAACTGTAACATCTTTAAGTTACGTCCATTAAATTTACAAGTCAGATCTGTTTGCTGTTAACATGTGCCTTATCGATGTTTTTCTTTGTATTAGTTTGTCAGGTCCTTTCTTCCCGTGTCATTTATGCTCAGAAAGTCAGCCAACATGTCTATGCAGCCGTATTCTGATGAAGAGCTGAACTACTTCAAGTTTGCATCAATTGTCCTAAAGGAATTCCCAGATGCTTTGCGTAGCATCTTTGTAGACATGTGGGACACCAGAGTTGCACCAAGTTCCACAATTTGGGATGACTCGCCTCTTGTACGCAATATACTCTACAACAATGAGGCTCCAAGCACAAAAATCCCCACGAATAACTCATTTAAAGAGTGGGACTGCACTGCACTATTTCAAGTCACTCTGTATGCAAGAACATTTGCGCTAGCAGACAGCACAGGAAAGAAAAAGACACTTGGAGAAATATATTTAAAAGGACGAAAGCCAGCCCCTGCTCCATTCCACTCTGTAGTGAGAAGTTCGAGCGGAGATGCAAATGAAACGATTGCACTTGCCATTGATCAGCTTCGTCTTTTACGAAACACTCTTTGTCATACATCCAGCCCTCAAATTAATAAAGTCACGTTCGATGACTATGTCAAGCACGCCAAAGATGCGTTCACTGCTTTGACTTTTAGCACGACACCTCTGGAGAGGATTGGCAACATGAAAGAATCGGATTTCCCTACAAAGGAAGTAGAAAAACTTAATGAAGAAATCAATCATCTGAGAAATGACTTCCATCTGTTTATTGAAAATGAGGTTAAACATGAAATGAGTGAAGTGAAATATGAAATGAGTGAAGTGAAACAAAAACTGAATAGCATTGAAGGAATATTAACACAGACAGAAGATACCACAGGTATGTTGTTTATGTGATATTATAGCTGATTTATAGATTTCCCAATTGGAAAGCTGCATTCATACCATATGATCAGTCAATTTATCATTAAATTTCCCCAGCCGTTGTTTTTCAGGTTCGTAAGTTGATATGCCCCGCGCTCTTTAGCGGGACAGCGAGGGTGGGAGAAGCTAGTGGGGGGGGGGGGCATGCGCTGCTACGCAGGCTAGCCCCTCTCCAAAAAGGTATTCTTCATTCCACGAGATAATATTCTTCATTCCACGCCAAATTCCTCGAGAGGGTATATGTTGTCGGTGTCTCGTCATTGATGATTGTTAAAACTGCTTGTAGCTGCAGGCAGAACATCATCAAATAAGTCTTTTCCGGGAATGCAAAGATTAGTTATTCTGCTGGAAAAATCACCCAAGGGAGCAAAGGACAACCAAAAACTCGACAAAAAAACTTTTATTTGCGTGGTAAGCATGCTTTCACTGCCAAAAACAAAAGAACAAAATCAAGAATGCTGATGAACGGCTTATGACAATACATGACTACAAATTATACTCTCCTGGGTATTTTTGCCTTGCAGTAAAACGTAAACAAGATACTGTAGGGGTCTATAGGATTCTTGTGCTTTTTTGTGTTCAACATAGCGATTCATAAGGATATAAACAGAGTTCATCCAAACAAAAAAATATTTAAAATGGCAGGTATATAAAAGTGGCCTATTTGGAATGATGAAAATGCATCGCTTATCATGTATAAATATCGTGCAAAACCGTATACTACCGTATGCTGCACTCTGCATCACGTATCGATTTCGGACCATTGTCGATGGACAGTTTAATCCCTGAACCCCAAGGTCATTAAAATCCTTCAATTCTTCTCCAGCAATGCTTTTTAATGCGATATTACAAACGCCACCGCCCTCTTGTTGACATCGCTGATTACGAAGCGACTTTTAGCGGCATCACAAAGAACTGATAAATTATGCTCTTTTCAAATCTTATTGGAAACACAGCCAATACTTCAATATTGGTCAGCACACTAAGTACACTTTCTTTTTGGTCACGATTTAAGAATGAAACAATGAGAAATTGTCGAAAACATTCGTCTCAACCATCATCGGTGCATGATTCTGCCACATGAACGGTTTGTCAATTAATTCATCTTCCAGCCAGTGGAAAACATGCGTTGTCTGAACAACGCGGTGTACCCATTTTACGAGTAGAATGTCCACAGAGCCTTTTTCCCTTTCCTTTCCGCTCGTTCTCCCACCGACAAGCCGCTCGATATCTCGCTTCGCTTCTGTGACCTCAACAGATCCCCTGAAGGGACTGTGGTACAGTGTAGACATGCGATGATCAGTTGACTAGCGGAATCGATTTGTAGTCGCGGCAAACGCCGGGTCAAGTAAAGTTTTTCTCTGATTCTCTGGTATCGATCGTTACTCGGCTTGCACCTAATACCTTGGTGTGGTTTCAATTTACAGATGCTTTTGTCTCGGAAAATAAAAATAAATCCATCTTGCATCCGTCTGTCTGTATCTATCTTATTTTTTTATTAATTTTCTTATTTGTCTGTATGTTGCTTTGTTTAGATCAGTGTGCTGCAACGTCGGACGCCAAATTCAAAGAATTTAACGACGTTCTTTTGCTGACAGTGGACGACACGGAGTTTAACGAAGCGCAAAAAATATTAAACAATGTCGAAATACCCGGCAAGAAAGACGAAAGTGACAAAAACTGTTTATTTGGAAAAATAGGCAGAAATAAAGTAACGCTCTTGAAAGTTCCATGCTTAGGCAAGACCGGCGCTTCGTCAGGCCATGATGTTCCGGTTTATGAAACAATCCAAGAACTTAAACCGAAAGCTATTGTTAGTCTGGGAGTTTGCGATGGTGTAAGGAAAGAAGCACATTTCCTTGGTGATGTCACGGTGTCATCACAAGTCTACTTTCTTAAGCAACGGGATGACGGTTTGTCAAATTTTGATCGTACAGCGTATGACTGCAATTTAGGACTGGTACATTTATTCGACCGTGGGAAATTTGCGTGGGTTGGTCCTTGCGAAAATGTGGTAGTTCCAAAAGTCTATGTTGGTCAGTTTACGACAGGTTTACAAGATGGTGACGACAAAAAGAGGGATTCGCACAAAGCGGGAACCATTGGAATAGACAAGGCGTCAAAAAGTAGGTATAGTAATGCGAGCGATCGGAATAATTTCCACGTAAAACAGGAAAAATAATACAAACAAAAAATGTTTGCTAAATTTAACCTTGTCAGTTAGAAGCGTCGTCCCGGGTGAATTTTCTAAATCGTCCAATTCCGAGAAGAAAATGGTTGTGCAGTAAGAATAATTAAATAGACAGACTCTAATGAAAGACGAAACCAATTTCATAAATAATACCATTTTAGTCAATTTACTCGTTTCTTATTGGTTAAAAACTGTACCGATTAAAGATTTATCGGGACGTATACGAGCACGCGTCCATTCTACACGGCCACGTGAGTGCAGAAATTTTAACCACAAAATCTAAATAAACAACGTGAAAATGTATATTATTGTCTGAGCTTTTATTTACGCTTAAATACAGAAGATATAGAAAAATAAAGATAATTTACAGTTTTTATAGGTTTGAATTGAAATTTAATGTTAGAAATTACAGTGGTGCTACACACGCGCGGTGTTATAAATATTTCGCTATACACGCGTTATTTACACTATTCAAAAGCACATTATATATTCAAATACGTACTCAAGATGGCTGCCATCCTATCAACCTGTGTGCTTGGAATGCCAGTGCCTAGACAGGGATCGAATCATAGATATCTTATATACAGCACTAGATTTCGGTAAAATTGAAGCCAAGAACATTCCAGCGGTTACCCCCATTTGAATAGATGGCGGTCATGTTGGTTGTTCTCACTTGCTAATAAACGCTTAAAAACAACAATGACTTTCATCATTTGAATAGTTTAAAAACGTATTTGGAATAGGGTTAACTTAATGTTTAAGTTCCCTGTTTAAGAAATAGAAAACATACGAATCTTCTCATTTCATGGGAACGACCTGAGACTGCAATCACGGCTTCAATTTTTGAATTACAAAATAATTAGATACACTATCTGGTGTATATAAGATATCTATGGATCGAATCTGTAAGTTTCTAATGACAAGAGATTAGAGGCTCTAACCAGAGGCCAGAAGAGAGTTAAAGCTCGTCAGAAAGTTAACAGAAACATGTCACCTTCGGGTAACGCTCTCGTGTGTATGACATGATCATGAATGTACCTGAGTTCCGATGTTTTCCTCAAATATCAAAGATAACCTCAGTTTTATCGTTTTAAGGTGTATATGCAACTTGTCAGAACTCTGGTGTACCGTGGCTGTCCTGTAAATCCATTGCAAAGTGGGCAAATGATGAATTTCAAAATTCGACTTGGTGCCAATTTGGTTCGGCAGTTTCAGCTTCTTACGTTCAACATGTGCTGAAGAGATTTTATATTCCATGCGAAGTTCAAGGTATATAACGGTTTCCAAATATATAGAGAATAATGCACGGAAAAACACCCGGATAGAAAATTTCCTGTTAGTTTAAAATTAATCGTGTTTAGAATAAATAAATGTTCCTGGATAAATTCCCTGGTTAATTTGATCAGTAATGATCACTATTGTGGCTAATTTAACCAGGATTCCTGGTTCATTTAACCGGGCTATATGGTTGAACTAACGAGATTATTGTAGGTGGATTATTAACCAAGAATTCTTGGTTGATAACCCACGTACCGAAATTCGGTTTCAATTATTTAGAAGCGCTATAACATTTTGAATGATTTGGTATACATATCTTTTAAAATTTCCTTTCAAAACAACTTTCAAAAACTGAAAAATCGCGCCGGGTTGTCGCATGGCGTCTGGTGTGGCTCGGCAATAATCATCACATGTGCAACTGATTCAGCGATAATCATCACATGTGCAACTGTCATAAGTAATCGCACAAGTGAGATTATTACTTTCATTAGTGACGGAAAATCAACAAAAAACTATTGTATATATACATGTAATATATTATACCTGAACCTTAAATTGTCCAATCAAAAAACAGCACGTGTGCCACATGACGTAGTGATTTTTTACCCAATATATTCTATGATTACGTAATGCAGCTTGAGATATCATCTGCCGGTCGATAGAACTAACAGTTGAAGGTTTTTTGTAGGTGGAAATTTCGAGCGGAAGATTATATACAATTTTATACTTAACCAGAAGCAGCTGCGAAAAATACAACTATAGGCCCTCTGGAAGGAATTGAACTAGCCTGCGAGGCAGGCTCTGGTTAGGGGAAGGAAGAGCCTGCAGTCGCCTCTAATAAATTTCCGTGCCGCCCTCATAATAAATTCAAATTCGCTATGTAGATTGACCAATCATATCAGAGCAGAATTTTGTTGTTTCCTCCTGCGAAATGTCCACCAACTTTATAATTTTTAATTTTTTTTTTTTAATTTGTATATAACATGGTCTTATAATCAATTAATTATTTAAAGTGTGTTGAAAGAGAAATATAGACGTAGACGATATGTCTTGTTGTTAAAAGCAATTTTATAGTTAGAGCAAATGCGTTTTTTTCGCCCTGAATTTTTCTCGAGGGAACTAATCAATATGCTTTGAGCGAAAAGTTAACCGGGAATGCATCTGTACGTCGGTTATGATCAACTCCCTGTATTCTCAAACAGCATTGTAGGTAGGGAGATTAAAGTTTATTGCCCAATACTAAACACTTTATTGAGAAGCGCTTGCAACTTGGAAAATTTGCAAGCTAATGAAAATGAGCGAGGAATCAACGCTACATTGCTTTCGCAACATCAATACTTATTCGGTGCAGCAATCTATGAGCAATCCTAGAATATCTGCACTCGTGTATAGGATGTCTACCATACTATTTTACAGTGGAGTGAGTTTTCAGGATATTGTTATAATCTCTGTACTTCTAGAATATTTAGTACATGCTCTTAAACACTCCTCGAACGCATTGTCGTTGCTGACCGCCGTCGTTGCTGACCGTTTTGAATATTGATATTACTGTTGATTGACGTATCATTAGAGCTATAGCCGACGAAAAGCTAGTGTTCGAGAGTGAACGCTATACACGAAAATTTATTAGAAGCGATAGCAGGCTCTTCCTTCCCCTAGAATTGAACCTGCGGCCTTGCGATTCAGTTACAGCGCTCTAACCAACTGAGTTACAGAGTTCAGTTCTCAAGCTCTAACCACAAGAGCTTTTATGTATACAGTATAGTGGGTGATGCACCGCCCGGCCGTACGCCTACCCCCGTAATGGGTAAAACGACACATTTTGTAACTTCCAAAAGCAATCAGGCGCTTCGTTGCTTCAAGCTCTTTCGCCCTAAGACTATCAGATAACGCCTTCAGTTTAACCTTATTTTCTATATTTGACCACAGTGTTTGCCAAGTACGTGCCCAAGCCCTGCCTTCCTCCCATGGTGCCCCATTTCATTGGTCGACAACAAAAAGTTGAAGATATCTCGCGTGCGTTGACCTCCACATCTGCTCGGCTAGTCTCTGTATCTGGACCCCCTGGTTTTGGCAAAACTTCATTGGCAATTGCAGTAGGACACCAACTTAGACAGCTCGGACTACCAGTTTATTTTCTTTCCTTGAGAAGCGTCAAGACAGCGGAAGAACTGATCTCTGACCTGTTAAACACCTTTGCACATACGTCGTCAGGTGTACCGGTGGGAGAGCGTTCAAAACTTTGCGGACTCCTCAGAGCAATTCCTTCCAATATTTGTATCATCCTCGATAACGCCGATGACCTTTTTGAGAGTAGTGGTGAAACGAGCCAAGATGTTTTAGACCTACTGGAAAATATCTTTTCTCACTGCGAGAATGTGTCTTTTCTAATCACCACAAGGATGAGTCTTCAATCGGTCCTGGGAAGAAAACTTGAGGATCAAAAGTCTGTCAGTGTTGCATCACTAGACAGGAAATCGTCACAAATGCTTGTTCAAGAACTTGTCCTTACTGCTGATAAAAACGAATGCTGCAAAGTGGCTGAGGTTTGTGGGGACGTTCCGCTAGCCATCAAGCTTTTGTGCGGTGAAATCGTTGACGAGAAGAAGAGTGTATCTCAATTCCTTGACAACTTTAGCCGTTCTTCAAAAAAGCTAGCAGACTTGTTAGACGATCCAGATGCCCCTAATGATCAACGTTTAAAGGTCTTGTTCGAGTCTTATTTCAAAAGAATATCTCGAGAAGAGCAAGAAGCATTTGTTTGCCTTTCAGTTTTTGTCAGTGAAGTGTTTGACGAGCAAGCTGCAGTAAACGTCATTGGCGGAGATGAAGACTCAGCAAAGAAAACTTTGTTGAGGCTCAAGAGAAAATATTTGGTAGAAGGAAATTCGTCCGAAGCAATGCTATTTTCTTTCCACCCTCTGATGAAGTCATTTGGTTCAGAAAAAGCAGCTGACATGAAAGAAATTGCTCGCGAAGCACAAAGGCGATTCCTGAGTTATTACATCAAGTTGTTTGAGGAATTAAATAACCAGTTTTTTGCTGGAAATTCCCTCCTCGCATTCCACGATTTCGAATTTAACAAAGAAAATATAGTACATAGCCTCTCCGAAGGTCTTCAAAACGACGCTGTGTGCGACGCAATTTTCGATGTTCTTTCCGATGCGGATTTGTTCTTGAACTCTGTTTCCGAATGCCATAATGGCAAGCATTTTTACGAAATTTATAATCCAGCAATAGCCAAGGCAAAAGAGCAGCGAAAATTCAAAGTTATCCACCAACTGCTAATTGCAAAAGCTGTTGGTGAAATAACCTGGGATTATGGAGCTACATTGGCATTACTAAAAGAGGCCGAAGAAATAGAGAAGCAATATCCTCTTCTTACTTTAGAAGTTGCCATGGGAAAACGAATGTGTTACCTTGGTACTAAATTGCTAATAAATAAAGCGGCAGCGAAGGGATGCGAAATTCTTGAAACAGGGATATCTCTGTTGAGTTCTGAAAATACTGTACTTAAGGTGTTATGCTCCCAGATTCTTGCTTTGATAACTCCTCACACAGAAAAGTCTTCCTACTACCGGAACATTGTTTTAACTGAATGCGCTAACAGACCAACATTGTATGCTTTCTTCAAAGCTATACAAGAAGATGATTGCGCTGACGAGAAAGAGAATGAAAAGCCAAAAGCTTTAAATCAACCACTCATTTTGCCGCTTGCTACTCTCATTTTCAGTATTGCGTATGAAAATGACATGAAGGATGTAATGTATAAAGTTGGTTTGCCAATCTCCCAATTACAGAAACAAGTTGAAGCGGAAGCACAGAACGACCGACTATACTTGCCACTACTCTTTGACGTTGAAATTATCCTGGCAAGAGTTAAAATAAAGCAAGAGACTCCAGCAGCGCTGCAGCTCGCTCTTGATAATTTTATGGAAGAAAATGGTCGGTTAAACCCCGATACAGCCGTAAGGTACAATGAAATTGGATTTATTTTATACAAACAGGAAAATTATGACGCTTCTTTGAAATCTCATTGTGAAGCACTAGACATCAGACTGAAGCTTTATGGGCACAACCATGCAGATACCGCGGAAAGCTATTACAGTATTGGAAATACCCAATTGGCGAAAGAAAACTACGAGTCGGCACTGCATTCGTTCGAGAAAGCACTTGATATCAGACAAAATCTTCACGGAAAAATCGATGCAGACGTTTTGGAATTGTGTTTAAGAATTGGAGAGACAAAATCTCGCTTGAAAGAGTATGATTCAGCTGTGCATTGGCACCAGCAAGCCCTGGATATTAGCGTGGCGCTCTATGGAAAGGAACACCCAGCCGTCGCTGAGAGCTACTTCAGCATTGCAGAATGTCAGTGCGAAATGCAAGATTATGATTCTGCTCTGGAGTCATGTCAACAGGCAATTGATATCAGATTAAAGCTTTTTGGAGAGGAGAGCGAAGCTACAAGCTACAGCTTTGACCAACTGGAATTTATACGAAGTCTAAAGAAAGTTTGCCAATCATCTATCGAGCTACAAAGCAAAAATTCGCTTTCTTCCTTTAAGAAAAAAAAATATTTTAAGAAATTTTTCTCGAAATAAGTCCAAATTTCTTGGGAGAATAAAAATATTTTTTCTGAAGAAAATATTTTTATAATGAGAAAATCACTTTCTTATCATAGGCGTACCGGGCGGGGGGGGCGGGGGGGGGCGGTAGCCCCCCCCCAGGTTTTTGGGCAGTCGGGCAATATTCGATCAACAGTCGGGCAATTTTGGTTTGCAATTTAAAAAAATGGGACAAATTCTGTCAATTTTGTGTAAAATTAAGTCAATTTTTTGGCAAATTTTGTGATTTTTCGAAAATTTGTGTTATGTTCCTAAAAATATTGGTTGTCCGGAAAATTTTTTTGACCCCTAAAATGGTACACTGACCGAAATTTTTTTGGCGACGGGGGGAGGGTCGCCAAAATAATTTTTCCGGAAAAAAATTTTTGGTACTAGTCGGGCAGAATCCCGAAAAGTCGGGCAATTTTCTTTCCGCCCCCCTAATTTTTTCCTTCCGGTACGCCCATGTTTCTTATTTTGAGAAAAACAAAACATTCTTTAAGTAATTTCTCTTAATGCAATTATGCAATCCTTACTTTAAGAAACTTGTGACAAATATTCTTGTGCATGCACTTGCATTTTAGATTTAACGTTATAAGTTCTTTGAATTTTCTTTCTTTTTAGATTTAACGTTGTTTTAAAAATGACAAATATTGCTTGCAGTTGTTGTTGTTGTTGTTGTTGTTGTTGTTGTTGTTGTTGTTTTTGTTGTTGTTGTTGTTGTTGTTAAACGAAACAAAGAAACTTTTCATGCAAAACAAAAAGTTTGAATAATTGCATGGTAGTCCCAGGGGTACCTTAAAGTTGTCATTCTGAATGCACCGTTAAACTAAGATTTTCACGTCATTAGAGCGACGCGAATGCTTGTTGAGACATTGGAGGAGTTACATAAAATCAGGCTCGTAGTAGATGTCATGATTAATTCTATATGTATGAGTAAGCCTGGGACGATTATAATTATTAGTATAAATAGAGCTTTTGTAAATAGACTATCATATCATGAAATAGTAGCTAGAATAAAGATAGTTCACCTTTTATAATCATCATACAACAGACACCGGGACCATTTCCCCCGAACTTCCAGCTGTTTGAAAGGTTATTTTAAAAAGCTTCAATTTATTCCAATAATCAAGTTCCTTAGCTCTCAATTGTCGGAGCTGAAATTGAGACCGCGTCCGTCGCCTTTTCTAAAGGCTGTCTACTAACATTGAAATGAACCTGAAATTGGTCCAACAAATTGTAAACGTAGCCTTAGAGATAATAAACTTCTTAGGAATCGTATTTGCATTTCCAGGAAGTTATCTCATTCAAGATTTTATTTTCAAGATAACAAGTTGTAGTAGCGATATATCATTCTACAGGGTGTATCAAAAAAAACTGAACAGATTTAAAATTGCTCTCAATTTCGCAAAACAGCTATTTGTAGCTGGTTTTTTATATATATAGCTTCTTTGGGTACTTATAATGTAAAATAATGAAAAAAATTTCTCGAACTTAAATTTTGTGAACCAGGGGGGTGTGTCTTTTCCAACAAAATAAAAATGGCTCGCGCACAAAATTTAAAAGCTGCAATCATATTTTGAGATAACAGATGGACAATTTGTTCGGATTTTAATTACTGTACAAAATTTCAGACAATTTGGTTTAGTTTAAGCCCCTTAACTATTCACGCAAAGTTACAATTTTCCCGAAAAATCAGCTATTTGCATGCTTAATTAATGCATTTGCCTAATTTGCATATGTCAGCAATATGCAAATTAGGTAAAGGCATTAATTAAGCATGCGAAAGGCCGACTTTTTAGAACAAAATGAATAGTTAAAGGGCTTAAACTAAACCAAATTGTCTGAAATTTTGTACAGTAATTAAAAACCCAACAAATTTTCAATCTATTAACTCAAAATATGATTACAGCTTTTAAATTTTGTGCGCGAGCCATTTTTAGTTTGTTGCAAAAGACACACCCCCCTGGTTCACAAAATTTGAGATCGAGAATTTTTTTCAATATTTTACATTATAAGTACCCAAAGAAGCTATATATATAAAAAACCAGATACAAATAGGTGTTTTGCGAAATTGAGAGCAATTTCAAATCTGTTCAGTTTTTTTTGATACACCCTGTATAGTCTAAAATTGAAAAAAAATTAAGGTGCATGTTGATTAGAATAAAGTGCGCAAAGTTGCATGCATATTAAAATTAAATGCGCCCAGTTGCATGCTAAGTAAAACTAAGGGCATGAAAACCAGTGCATGCTTAATTTAAATTGAGTGCGCGCGTTGCAATTTTCTTGCGCGCAATAAAAGCAAAATGTGCCATAAATGTAAATATAGAAATGCACACATCACATCTTCAAAATGCATCCAAGTGTCCTAACAGCTTTTACAAACTATCTTAAAATATGTTGGGCCATTGGATTCATTTGCCACGCACCTTGTCCTGAACATATCTAAAATATTTTCAGGTTTCAAGGTTCAGATAAATATACCCTTATGTGGAACAATTTGTTCATAAAAAGAGATATATTTGTCTTGCGCAATCTGTAGACCGAATTTTCGGGTGGTCTACAATTTTTTTTGAACATCTCGTGAGATTTTTTGCTAAATTCGTTGATTTTGTTAAATTAAAATTTATTAGTTAGATGATGTACAAATAGATATGATGTAAATAGATGTAGATTAGTAAGATTTTATATTTAATGAATGATGTAAATAAATAGAATATATATGCTTTTTATATCATTATATTGTAAACACATTGTAAATTATGTGTCAATAAACCATTACCATTTTTTTTTGTAAGATTTTTTACTTTTCTGGGTTTTGGTATCGCCCCCAGGGTTTTTCAGCATCCGGACTCGTAATCGCCAAGGTTTTTCACCAGATCTTGCCATCGACAGCTAGCTGTCCATGGCACCTCTGGTTTTCCTCGGGCGATTATGTATTTTTCGTTTGGCAAAATATTTAAAAATTCCAAAACAAAAAACAGTGTCCGTGTTTGGGACGAATTCAGTACTGTGCAGAAAAAATGGATTATATAGCTGTTGAGGTGCATGTCTCATTATATTCTGTGAATGAAGTTACATTCTCTGAAATATATGCAGTAATATAATTCCACATTGTTAGACCTCACTTAATGTCCATCTTTTAATAAAAACATTGGTTTGCAAAGATCTTCACCATGACAGATATGCATTATTATGTTGAACAATGTATCAGAACAGTAATTTACAATGGGTTATTACATCCACACCTCTCCCATGGAGGAAATTGGAAGTAACCCTCCTTCCCCCTTCGAACATTCTACTAACAATTATTATAAACAAATTTTTCAACCCACCCCCCAACCAGCCAGTGCAGATTTTGTCCTTGGGAGGAGGGTTGATCTTTTCTGGAACAACCCAATTTTGTTGAAATACAAAGTTGCAGATAATAAATTAAAATCCAACTTATTACCAGAAAATTAAATTTCCTGATCTCTAGTCAATGATCAGTCTTGAAAATTGCAAAGACACAGTACTTGTTCGTTTCTGGGTTGAATTCCCAGAACACTGTAAAGTAGTTACTAAAAAATAATGTTTGTACTTTATTAATTAAAGACATATTCTTGCACAAATTAGTTCATTATGAGGAACTGCCTATTATTTACGAGGGAGCTGGGGTGGGCTGGTTGGATTGGGAGCTGGGGTGGGCTGGTTGGATTGGGAGCAGATCACAAGTTTTAAAATAGTTTCTGGGGGGTGGGCCAATGTAATTATGAATGAGAGGGGGCTGAAGTGGGTTAGGGGCTATAATAGATCACATTTTACTTCTCCAGATTTTTTATCAATCTCATTTCCTCCGACCATGTGCTGCCCAATTCCCAGTTTCAACAATCTTAAAAGAATACCCTTGACCAGCTGTTTCGATCACCTATGTTCGAACTGAATTTGTGTAGGAATCGCCTATGTTCGAACTAAATAGTGAACCCCCCTCCTTTTTATATCCAGTCTGAAGCACCGACAGTCGAGTAAATTGTGTTAAAAAAAAGTTTTTAAATGTGCATAAAGTTTGCACTATCGTGTACCATTTATGTATGCACTCGCATAGTTACATCAATATATACACAACTATTTCAATTAAGGTTGTCCATGAGCAAAGCGGAAAAGTCTAATACGAGCACGAAAGGCTGCTGGGAATCACTAACAAATTAATGAATTTTCAAAGTGATTCCCAGCAGCCTTTCGTGCTCATATTCGCCATTTTTCCCGCTTTGCTCATGGACAACCTTAATTGAAATAGCTGTATGACAATACAATCTGCATACATAATATGAGCCAAACAATCTTATCGCCAATATAATATTGATAGATGCAAAGTCGGGCAAACTGCCAAACTTTATGCTGCCTATGCCTAAAGGGCCCAACATTGAATATCAATTGTAATTCAGGGGCATTTACCCCAGTAGGCCCTTTGCTTGTCCCAGTAGTGAAGCATGATTTTCAGATGAACTGGACCCTTTTGATCATTAGTAAAAGGTTATCCTTGTTGAAAGAGCTGCATATCCTCTCACATTCTCGACATTCCCTTTTATAAAAGTCAGCACAGGCAGGGGCAGCGCTAAAAAGAGGGTTGTGTGGAACACCCCCAATTGTGACATTGTTGGGTAGTCTGCCGAATTATCTAATGAGGCCCACCAAGGGGTTATGACCGACAGGCGACATTTCTTAAAGAGGCGACAGACTATCTAAAAAAGAGCGACAAATGACAGCTTCTGACTGGAAAAAAGCGAAAAATTGTGATTTGTGTTATGAACTTATGGGTCAAAAGTGACAGCGACGTTTATTACAACAAAACAAGCGACAAAGCAGCTACAAAATGAGTGACAGGCGACCTGGGTTAGACAGGTTACACCCTTGGTGGGCCTCTCTAATCCCAGTTTATAGATGAAAAGAAATACTAATTAGCGTTTGAAATTAGTAGGCAATATTTCACTTACACCCATCCACCCCCTATTCAAATAGCTCTGGCGCTGCCCCTGAGCACAGAATGGTTTTTATGTACCTGTATAAACTGTGTGGGGAAAATAATTAAGGCCCTTCATATTTGAGACTAAAGCCCCAGTAGTTGTAATTTCTTAAAAAATGCCCTGATTATTGTATCATGCGATACAATCAGTGATTTTTATACCTGCAAGTTGCACCGTTGCAGCTGCGCAGAGAAGATTTGCTGAGAAGATGGTTTTGAAAATTTAGTAAAGTTGGAAGTTCTGAACGTGATTAACAGTACTACTGTATACAGCTCAGTGGCTCAGCCAACTTCGGATTTTCCCGATGTTCGCCCGAAGAGCATATTTCTATAAATTATAAAATAATATTTCATTTTTGTTGATTTTAAAATGTTTAGCGAGCAAAAATTGTTGTTACAATCGTGGTTGGGTCGAATAATATGTGAAAAACGAAAATAGCGAGGGTAAAGAGATTAAAATTGGATTTAATGCGTTTATTAAAAAAATATTGAAACTTTACCACCAAATATGGTAGTCCCCCCCCGCGCATGACACCTGTGACCACAGAGTTTTTGGCGGGAAAATTTGTGATGTTTGGAGAAGACAAGATGGCGCGCCTGTTTACTTCGTCTTATCAAAGGGCATTTTTGTTCACAAATACCCGCTTATTTTATGTTACAGCGACTGGTTAGTTTTGGAAATTATAACTTAATGGACAGGAGAAAAGATTCTGTAGTGAAGAGAAAAATATATTGACTTTTAAAGTCGTATATTGTGATTTTGTTTGTTGTGAAAGACGGCCGGAAATTTCGCTACATCGCTATACTGGATAAATGGACAACGCTTGAATGAAAGAACAGCCTGTCTTATTGGTAAGTTTTTAAAGGGTTTTTACTTTTCGGTAATATTTTTTAGTTTTATACTGTAAAAGCTCTTCGCTCGTAGCGTTGTTTTTAAAGGCCATGTAAAGTCCGTAAATTAAACGAACGTTTTGTTTACATTTTGAACTCAGTGCTATACAGGGTGTCTCAAAAAAAACCAAAATCATTGAAATAACGTATTGTTCGAATTTCAATGCCGTAACACAAAGGATTTTGACAGGGTGATTAATTTGTTTTAAAAAAATAAAATATCTTTGTAAAGTGAACGTTTGTTTGCTCATGGGAATTTAAAAATGCTTCGTAAATTGTAATATGCGTAATATGCATTCGTGGGTTTAGTACTTTATGCCTGACATAACAAGTTTACGCTGAGTATTACCATTCATTATAGCAGTTATGTCAATCTTTTATGCACTCGTGGGATTAACTTAGTGCTAGGGCATTGAATATCGAACAATACGTCAATTTCAATGATTTTTTTTTTTTGAGACACCCTGTAGTTGTAAAATATGATTAGATATATATTATACTGAATTTTTAACACTCTTCTGGTTCGCTATACTTGTAAATGAATATAGACAAGAGATTCAATTCAAGAAAGTTCGAAATATTAATTAATAACATTCCAATGGTTGGGTCCGGACCATTGGAATGTAGACCTGCCAGGGCCGGATTAACCACGTGGCAGATGCGGCATATGCCGCGGGCCTCGCGCTTATGGGGGCCTCATGCTTTACTGTGCCACGCCCATTTTTACGAGAACACGCTCATTTTCTATTGGGACACACCCATTTTAAGTGCCTCGCGAATTTAGATGCCTTGCAAATTTAGGGATCTCGTGCATTTAAGGCCCCTAGGCTTTGGCAGTTTGCCCCAGGAAAATATGCAATACCCATATGCATGTAATCTCCAGTTGCGCTGAGGTTTTTCAAGCACCCAAATTAGCAAAATATAAAGGTTTCATTGATGTTTGAAACCAGTTTTAACCGGTAACGGAAAATTATTCAGAAATCCTGGTGGGGATAGCTTGGCTGCGAAAATTGCGGTGATTTAAAGATAAAATTGAAAACAATTATTTAACAATTTTGTGTGTCTTTGAATTCAAAGGTTTTCATAACGAGGGGGGGGTTGGGGGCCTCGCGCTGAAAATCTGCCACGGGCCTCGCGCGACGTTAATCCGGCCCTGAGACCTGCACAGAACGGAAAGTATTTTTTCTTTGTTAGAATTTAATATAAGACTTTGGAACACCATTTTACATTTGTTTTATTAAAGATGCTGTATTAAAGTCCGGAATGTAAACAAAAGCTTTCTGCTGCTATATTGGTAAAACATGATGTTAGAGCTGCTCCCGATTAATCGATCAATCGATTAATCGATTATTTTTCCACAATCGATTATGCTTAACAATAATCGGATCATATATAACACCACACAGTGTGATGCGGGAATGAGTTAATTTCTTCCCGGATTAAAAAAATTTCGTCAAGAATGGCCTTGAAACACTAAATGACAAATTGATTCAAAACATTGTGGGTCAAATATCAATTTCACTCACAGCGTGCAAAGTTTACCATAGTCTGATCAGGTTACCAGTGTTGTGAAAATATCTTTAAAGTTTTTTTATTAGAAGAATTTATTACCATTTGCGTCCAACATTGCAGCGTGCGGAAATAAACCAATTATCCATACGAGTCTGAATCTCGCAAATTTACTTAGGAGTGTCAAAGGTAAACAACTAAAGTGCTACAACTAAATATCGTTCCTGTCTTTTCATGCATTTCTCTTGTGTGTAGTGTAAGAGCACAATCAACAATTGGGATTAATGTTCTCTTTAAACCAAGATTTAAAACGTTTATACTGACTGGTGAAACCCCCCAAAATTTAGTTTAATTACAATTTAGAAACCTGTCAAACCACCATGGGCTTTTCATATTTAAATTAATTATTAATACGATTAATCGATATTAATCGATTGTTGACAACGATTAATCGATTACGAAAATTAACCGATGGGAGCAGCTCTACATGATGTACTAACTGATTATCTAACACTATTCTGGTTGGCTATGCTTGTATAAAGGCCCTGTTTACACTATACCGGATTACTTTTTCATACTGGATTAATGTTCACTCTGTCTCTGAAGTAAAAAACAATTATCACTTATTTACTGAGACCGAGGGAAACAGTGTGTTTATTACTATAATATTAATATTTGAGCTGCAACAATTTTGACAATTACTACAGTATGCTTGGCCTGTCATTTTGGTGCCTGCATTATGAATGAAAGACCATTTGTTACTTTCTGTGCTGAGTGGTTATATTACTACCTTAAAAAATAACCCTTAACCCTTTCAGCCACACTGTCACTGGATGACTGTGGAATATTCTCCCCTTAACCCTTTCAGTCACACTGTCACTGGATGACTGTGGAATATTCTCCCCTTAACCCTTTCAGCCACACTGTCACTGGATGACTGTGGAATATCCTCCCCTTAACCCTTTTAGTCACACTGTCACTGGATGACTGTGGAATATCCTCCCCTTAAACCTTTCAGCCACACTGTCAGGGTTCTCCATAGTTGTGTGTGGGACAGGTAAAACAGGTTTTTCAACAGGTATAAGCATCAAGTCGCACCTATACAAACCTCTAGGGGGTCTGGGGTATACCAACGGAAAATTTTGAAATCTGAAATGGCATTTCCTGCATTTTGAGGGAAGATTTAAACTTTTATAGAATACTAAAGATTATATTCTAAACACACGCCAATTTAATTACTCAGTCCTCAGGCCCACGCTGGGTTGATAATATAATCATTCCGCCAAAAAATTTTGTTCACAGATCGGGTTTATAGGATATTTCTGTATTCAATCTATCGATGCTAAATAATTAATATTGTGGAATTTCAGCAATACTTGATTGATTGATTATTAAAGGAATACCGAATGGTTTTCCGTGCAGGATTGCGTGATCCATGCACGAGGGATGTCGCGAGACTTTCGGAAAGCGTAAAAATACTCGAGCTGCAGGCGAGTGTATTTTCACACTTTTCCAAAAGTCGAGCAACATCCCAAGTGCATGGATCACGCTATCCTGCTTGGAAAACCATTTGGTAATTGTTTTATAAAATAACTGCAGTGAAACTATGATTTTGAAAATCCCGCGAAGGCATTATAATTCCTCGTGCATGATAGCCTGATCCTGCACGACTATTGACCAATAAAATTGCATGTTTCACTGTAGTTATTATATAAAGGATTTTCTCACACCTTATTACTAATTATTTCTTAACAAATGTACACAAACGTATATTTAACTTGGGCTTCTCCAGGCGGTAATCAGTGCTCGTGGAAACGGTAAATTTTACCGGTTACCGCCTGATAAGGAGAACCCTGCACTGTTACTGGATTACTGTGGAATATTCTC